TTTTTTTCTTCTTCTTATCTTTAGATTCAATTTGTTACTCTTGCTATATGTCTTAGTCTATCAGCAACTATTATACTTTTATGTTTATTTGCGCCAAAATTATATATTATTCTCTTTGATCCGTCCAAAAATATTCATTCAAAATTTAAAACATCAATATCAGTTAAAAAACCTGCAACATCACAACCAAAAGACAGTAATCATTATAATACATTACAAGCAACACCAATTAATAATAATCAACAACGACGAATAACACCATCAGAATTTACAACAGAAGTTACATTTTGTACTTCAAAATCAGATAGTTATGCTTTAAATATTCATGAAGAAACAACACAAACAGATAGTTTTATTGGTGAAAAATCAATTGTAAATACTAGTGCATGTACAGATGCTGAACGACAAATAATATCTGGAAAAGATAGTGATAAAACAGATCTTATTTCAAAATCCAAACCAAAATTAAATGTTGGTTATCTTCAACGTTCATCAATTCGACGAAATTCAACTAGTATAGTAATATCAAATGAAAATCCATGGAAACGAATGAGTAATGTTCGTTATAAACTTGATAAACAAGAAGTCAAGGAAGAAAATACATCACGTTATCGTCATGTTTATGAACAGCATATCACTTTTGTCTAAGTTATTATTTTTGTTTTTTTTTCTTTTGTTTAATATTAAATGTCTTCTGTTGTCATTCAAGCAAAAAAGAAAACTTATAATAATGCATGTACAATCTAGATAAATTGATAGACTAATGTTTAAATTTGATTTCCATTGACTTAATAGTTTACTATTGGTTAAAAATTAGAATATTTGATTCTTTTTTGTTGTTCAGATTTACAATTCACATCTTTTTGGTTTGAATATAATAAAATAAAAAATAATTTGATTTATTTATTTCTACATCGTCGAACAAATATAATTCTCTTTTATTTCCAGTTATGATTCTATATTTGTCTATTTGTCTTACTGCTATTCGTTCGTTATTTTCCTTTTTCTTCAATTATTACTTTTTTTTATTCTTTTACTCAATAATTAAAATGATGAAAGCATCTATTCTATGCATTAATTATTTTTACACAAGGCCCCAATGTACTATTATGCATCTCGATAAATTCAAAGAACATGAATATTAATAATTACTGAAAGTTACATCCAGCTCTATTTACACTTTCTATAATAAGTGTAAGGAAGGACCTTTCATTTTGATTGTGAGGATTTAAAGAAACAAATTTCACGTCATTTACTTGTAAACCTTGTGCTACAGTGTGGGAAGATTCTGATAGCTTTGACTTACGTTTTTATGATTTACCGTGATTTCATGATGATTATATCCACCTCTTTTGATTCGAATCTAATTAATTGGCTACAACAAATACTTTGCGCAAGATATAATTTTCTATCGTGCTGACATAGATCCTCATTTGTTTGTTGTGAAGACTTTATTCCGATCAGAGAAACAAACAATGAGAGAGAGAATATATGCTCTCCAAAGCAAAAGCAAAACCCTTATATACTCATATGTGTGTGACTGAGGAATCTCACTCATAAGTCATTAATTCCTTGACGCATCAGCTATCACGGCGAGTGTCGTGACATTTGTATTCGAAAATACCTTGAAAAAATCTATATTACTATTTTTTTCCACCTCTCATATGTTGCGTGTATCTGGATATTATCTAGCAGTAATATTTGATTGTGTTTTCTTCCCATGCAATGTTGTTCTCTAATAATCGTATTAAAAAAACATCAATTTACAAATGCTGATGGTTTATATCTAATAGAATACATCTCTATATGAAAAAATAATAAAAGATCCGAATTGTACATATCATTTTTAGTAAAAATTTTATTTTTATTGAATAAAATGTTATTCAAATCTTTCAACTTTTATTTTAAAGGATATAAACATTTCATTATTTTCACCTGAAACTGACATCTATATACTAATAAAAACTTTTACCGTCTTCATAAAAGAACAGCGAATGGTACATATTTTACCAGTATGAATTAAATTTGATATGGTTTTTTTTATAGAAAAATATTATTTCGTAAAAATTCAATATTCTACAAGCATTTTTTTGTTCTTCAGATAAATTTTATTATTATTATAATTATGACATCAATTCGTCAATTTAGATTAACAGATCTTTTACGAATAAATAATGTGTAAGTATAAAATTCGAAATTAATCTTATTGATTTATTTATTTTCTAGGAATCTGGATATTTTCACAGAAAATGTAGGTTTATAAAATAAATCAAAAATAAATTTTAGAAATTTTTGATTGATTTCAGTATGGACTTTCATTTTATTTACATTATCTAGCAAGATGGCCTGAATGCTTTTTTATTGCAGAAAATCCTGCTCGAAAATTAATGGGTTATAGTGAGTTATTTTGAATTATATATGCAAATTTCGAATTTATGAAGAATAAAATTAAAGTAAATTAACATTTTTATATTTTACATCATTAAAATAATGAATTTTTAGTGTTGTATATTTTAGTCATGGGAAAAATTGAAGGTAAGTAGTTTATACTGATTGATTGAGTAAACATATAGATTTATTATTCAGGTAAACACGAAAATTATCATGGTCATGTAACTGCTTTATCAGTTGCACCAGAATTTCGTCGTATTGGAGTTTCAACACAATTGATGGCATTATTAGAACAAGTCTCCGAAAAGTTCGTTCTTTGTTTTTTCTTCTTAAACATTATTTTATAATAATTCATTTGTATTCTTAGAAAAGACACCTATTTTGTTGATCTATTTGTTCGAGTATCAAATAAACGAGCTGTCGATATGTATCATAAATTAAATTATGTTGTTTATCGGCGTATTATCGGGTATTATTCTGGTGAACGAGATGAAGATGCATTTGGTATGTGTATATGTCTTATTTTCTTGAAAATAATTAATTCAAATATTTTTAGATATGAGGAAAGCTTTACCAAAAGACGTCGAGAAAAAATCATTGATACCAATTCCACATCCTGTCCGACCTGAAGATCTAGCTGATGATTAGTTTTTGTTGTGAACATTTGCAGTTGATAGAAGTTTATTAATATAAAATAAAACGATGATCTAGACAAATCATTAGCATTTATAAAATGTTTTTCCTCAATACTAAAAGTACTTAATTGTCATTGAAGGCTATAAGAGATAATTAAAAGCATTAATCAATAATAATTTATCCAGTAAGTAGATCTAGAATAAATAAAAAATCTCGATACTAATATGAAAATGATTATACAGACGATGTACTGACGAACGATTTACGGACTTTGATTTCATTTTACTCGGAAGAAGTGAATAATCATTTTTTGTCCCTTGATAATCTTAATAACAAAAAAATATTTCATACTTGTTGATGTAGCGCTGAGTAATTGCATCTCTAAAACTGTTTATTTGTAGTTTCTGTTTTCATACATTTTTATGTACTTAACAAATAAAATTTACGATTGAAATATTATCATGATACATAATACAAAATTCCAATCATACGAAATACAAACAAAAGAACAATCATGTATATGATTCATGTAAAAGAAAACCTTTTTTGGTTACTATTAATAAAAATTTCTACCTATAAAAGATGCAATGCAACAATGGTAAAGCAGTTAGATGTGTTCTCTTTCGTTGTTGTATGCACTGTTGATTTTCTTTTGTATGTTGTACTTATTCATCGTCTACTGACGGAATAATTTTTCGAGCATTATAAATTGACACAACCTTCTCGATATAAAAGCTGTAGACATGTCGGAATAAGTTTGTCTAATATTTTTCTTTTTACAAGGTACTTTTTCGTATTTGTATAATTATCATTAACTTCATTATCGATCAAAATGGTCACTATATACATAAACCTTTCTTCTATAGATCTCTATTTAAAATAATCGAACTTATCAATTATGGGTAATAAAGGTGCTAAAGGCAAAAAAACTTCTACTGAACTTACAGCAAGAGGTTGGATGATTTTTATCTTCATATTTCTTTTAATCAATTTTTTTCAATGATAGAAATTACTATGCTTAAAGCGAATACTAAATATAGTGAAAAAGGTATGTTTTTTTTACATATTATCTTCAATTCCTTTTTTTTTTGTCTCTAGAGATTCGTGAATGGCATGCTGTATGTATTCTTCGTGTATGATTAATTGAACTTTGTATTATTCGTTTATTAGGGTTTTCTTCGTGATTGTCCAAGTGGTAAACTCGATAAAAAGAAATTTGTTGAAGTATACAAAACTTTTTATCCACAAGGCAAAGCTGATAATTTTTGCAAGTAAATGAATATCTGTCTCATTTGACCAATATATATATATTTGTTTTATTGTTAGATATGCATTTGCTACATTCGATACAAATCATGATGGTTCTATTGATTTCGATGAATTTATTTTAGCGATTTCTGTTTCAAGTCAAGGAGATTTAGATGATCGACTTGAACTTGCATTTGATATGTAAATTTCGAAGATTTATCGAATATTTATAATAGATTTTCTTTCTAATTCAAAGGTATGATGTATCAGGTGATGGACAAATTGATCAAAAAGAATTAGCTGCTTTGATTTCCGCTATGGTAAAAAATTTTTATTGAGTTTTGTTTAGTAAATATTCTATATTTTGTAGTATGATCTTGTTGGTGAAACCGATCGTAAAGGTGATCGTGAACCAAAGAAACGTGCTGCAGAAATTATTGCTAAAATCGATGTTGGTGGTGATAAAAAATTAAATAAACAAGAATTTATTGCTGGGTAAAAATATATTTCATCATTAATTCTTTGTATTTAATATTTTTAATTAGATGTAAAAATGATCCACTTATTCGTCGTTTACTTGCACCAAATGTATAGATAGAAGATGCAAAAAAAACTTTTTCGTGATTTATTCGATAAAATAATTTGTTTTTACTGTATTTGATCGTTTGTGTTTTTATCATAAATAAACTATACGAGCAAAAATTAATAGATACGTCTTATAGCATGAAAAAAGGAAATGTTAATTATCTTACAGTACATTGATTATATATTTATTGAGAACATCATGAACTTTATTTCAACAGACTGAGTACATTCAATGTCATGTCAGCCTCATTTCATAGATCTTATTATTCTGAATAGTTGATCTTTAATCAGATTATAATAACGTAATTATTCATCTTGTTTTTCAAATATTAAGATCGAATTACTAATGAAACCATTTAAAATTCCATCATATGCCAGGTATTAATCTTACTTAATATTAGAGAACTTATGAAATGACGTAATTGTTTGCATTCATGTTTCTTTTAAAACAATGAATTACTTTCAATGATAGAACCTTTTCATCTCATTGTCAGTTGGTGAAATAATTTCATTAGCGTGATGATAATAAATCGTTTAAAAATGACTCATTCTGAACATCACACACATGGAAATGTGTCTCATATGTTATAATAGTACTTTGTTTCTTTCATTTAAAGTGAAATGAGAAGGATTTTGTATACTATAGAATCGGATCTATGTTGTATATACTGTTATATGATATTTAATATCATAATAATCCACAATAACTAGGTATATACTCAAAGTAATAATCTTTCTAGATAGGAAAAATATGTTAATGAGTTAAATAAAAAAGATCATTTTGAATAACACATATTCATCTGAAGAAATATCGATCTAAATAAGGTAAATATACAAAAAAGAAATAGTCGTACATATCTTATTTCTCATTCCATGCCTTACTATCATATAAAATTTCTATTCTTTAATTCATACTGTTACTAAATTATCAATTTTACACTAGAAATAATCGCATTATTCACCGAAGCATCATAGAAATAATCAAATTGTTAAGTATTGAACCGAAAGAAGAACATTGTTACTAATAGTCAGTTTAGTGCAAAACATAAAATGATCTATCGAAACGTATAACTTTCATGCTTGTGTTTTTGTTTCCGGTAGTCTTTTATTTATACCATACTGTCAAATACTTCTTGATTCGTATACATATGAATAATTATACTATTAGAAAACAAAATATGATTATATAAATATTAAGTTTTTATTTATTTGTAAATAAGATCTGAAGATGGATTAGTTATAGATTGAACTTTATTCTATTTTATCAATATAGAAAACAGTACTCAATTATAAAATATTGGCATATTTAGAGACATCTTAAATATAATTGTTATTCATTTGATTAATATTCAGTCAAGTACCAGAATATTCGATGTCAAACTAGTAAAACATGCATATTTTTATTTAAGTACTGTCAAAATAATAAAGATTGATGATAACTAAAACAATATGAAAAATTCTTTTTCTATCATCGCATCGTATTTTCAATATTTAGAAAAAATAATCATTTCGACTGAATTCTAATACATCATTTCTATATTTTTAATAGTACAGAAAACTTATTAAAGATTCATAATCCGAGTAATACACAGTTAGAGACCTGCATCGGAGTTAACTACATTACATTTTTTTGAGGTGAATGTTTTTAATCTCTGATATTTTGTCTAGAAACTGATGTAGTTTAAGGGTCCAATCGATGTTTTAATTGAGGTTCACGGACGCAAAAGAAACTCGGGGCTAGATTTGACTCCGACTTTCTTTTGTGTACGTGAACCTTAATAAAACATCGATTGGACTCTCAAAATACATCATTTTCTAGAGAAAATATCAGAGAACAAAACTTGCACCTAAAAAAAAGAATTAGCGGCCAGAAATTAAGTTGACTCCGGTGCACGTGTCTAACATACAGCAATACTATTGTAACTCAAATCCTTCGATCGTAAATAGAGTAATGTATATTTTATAAATTATTCACATCACAATTTCAATAGTAAATAGTATTAGATTAAAAATAATTAATGAAGTAAATGTTTCTCAATTGAATTTATTATTGTTCATAAGATGCACTTATTCCGCGAGCTTCAATTGGTTTGTTAAAACAGCTATTCTCGTAAGTACAGACATGTTCACCTTCATATATCAGCATTAAGATTAATAATCAATTTGAACTTGTTATTTAGTAATATTATTGTATATGTATAAACGAGAAAAAATTTCTTACATAATAGAATTTCTGAATGTCAAAAGAGCAATTCTTTGCTTTAGCCTTGTTTTTTACAGTCGACATCAACTAATAGTCTAGAAGATAGAATGTGTATACAAGACAATAAATACTGATCAGTCTGGTCTAATGTCTCGATTGTTTCTTTTTATCTGATATAATATGGATGATTTGTCATTGATTTAATTATATATTTGATCTGAAATCAAAACAAACAAAAAAAAAAAAGAATCTTTGATAGACGTATTGTCATCAAATTTATTTGGTTATTATAATTCGTACTTGATACTAAGGAGACTCTTGATTCTTTTAGGGTCGAACAAGATATATATATATATAATGACAAATTATCAGTCCTAGACGAGTATAATAACCAGTAAAAAACAATCATACTTATATGATATACTCTAAAACCGGAAACATTCGATTCAATTATTATACCTTTAGATAATATTTTTAGTAGAAAATAATAACTTTGATCTAATCAAAATGTCATCTATAATGATATGTTGTCCATTTTGTTATTATCTATAGTTTATATAATTATAAAATTCAATTATTTGAATATGCGCAAAATAGTTTAATCGAGGTTTTTTTTTGAAATTTTAATATTATTGACCAGAAATAAGATGAGATCAAGCAGAATGACCTATATTTAAGTATTTTTATGATATTTAGTATAGTTCAGTACATCAATCCATCTTTCTATCTATTGTCAATCATATGGGACATTGTCATCTTGAATAATTATCAATATTATTGGCGTAATGCGATAATTAACGACTGTCAAATTCTTTGATGGGAAAGTTAGACCTTGTCTTCTTCCTACCCACTGCGACAGACAGATGAATCTGTTAGGATTTGTAATGAGGGACGGAAGAGAGAAAGAAGAAAGAGAGAGAGAGAGAGGGAGAGGGGGGTTAGGATGTTTGTCCTTCGTCTCTCATATACGCATCATAGGACAATACATTTAAGATCTTCTTTGTATCTCTTTCACAATAACAGTAGTATCGTCTATTCTACTTATATTTTTCGATCTCGCATCCCACTCAGACATCATAAATTTGACTTTTATTCTTTTAATCTTTAGTATAAGTATCTGTATAATACATCTCTTATATTCAGTACATTCAAATCCGATAAATCTTTCTTATTCCTTAGTGTCTATCCATCGATTTTTTGTTTCTCGTTTATAAAAATAGAACTGCATCAATTACTTTTAACTAGATACGATTAAACTAAGTTATTCATATCTTTGTTTAATGTTGCAAATCGAAAAGCTAATTACTGGTATCGATGCATCAACAAATATATGTTGACCATCAATAACAATCCTTGGAGATAAAAAGGAAAATCTCTCGATAGACAATAATATGTCATCACGTTTTTGAATAGTATAGTATTTCCGTTTTTTCCTATACGCATTAAATATTGACGATAAGAGAGCAACGATAACAAATTGAATATAGAAAAAAAAAATTTTTCAAGAGTTATCCTAGAAAAACTAAATAAAGTAGAAAATATGAGTAAATGAAGTTGATCTTTTGTTATCATTATAGTAGAAAAAATATTCTTGTCTATTTATTTATTCTAGTAGTTTAATGAAAATATAATATATACTAAAGAAGAAGAAAAAGCAGGTGTATCTCTTCCTGTATTAATAGATTTTTTCTTCCTTCTTCTTACTAATATATATCGTAGGTGGTTATAGCAATAACAACAAGAATATTCGATGTTGTATAATAGAATGTGTCCTTGTTTTTATTTGTCTCGGAAAGAAAAATTCTTCTTTTTTTGATCCGAGATAGGAAAATAAGAATAATCAAAAAGAAAAGACGAGACGAACGTTAGAGATATACAAATGATTCAAGTTAAGATAGTATTATTACTTCTTATCTTTTTTCTTATACTAGTTTTTCGTTTTTCATATCGATTGTTTTTCTTTTTCTAGAATAGATTTTATTTTTTAGTTAAATAATTATAGTATGTTCGATGAACAGTCATCAGGATTATACTTCTCTGTTAGAAAATAATTTAACAATAAAATTAAATGATACGACAACAGCATCAATTCTATCGTCGACATTACCTAGTCAAATCGCATTTGTATTATTTCCGTGTATGGTATTAACCGGTGTTATTTGTAATACACTTATTTTTGTCATCATGCGACGTCGACGTATGTCTCATCTATCTACATGTTATTATATGGGTATCTTAGCAATTGCTGATACAAGTGTTCTTCTTCTTGGTTTATCTGTAATGTGGCTTTATTTCGTAAATAAAAAATGGTCATTATTATTACAATCAACATATGGCTGTAAACTTCTTTCACTTTTATTCTATACAGTATCCGATACAAGTGTATGGATCGTTTGTATGATGTCTGCTGATCGTTGTATAGCTGTCACACGTCCATTACATGCTAGTTCAATATGTACTGTAAAACGTGCAAGAATATCTGTTTGTATACTTGTCATATGTATTCTATTAATAAATATACATTTTGTATTTACACATTATCTATCATCGGATAATGATTGTACGACACATGAACGTTATGATTTTTTTATTCGTCGCGTATGGCCATGGATAGATGCAGCTGTCTATTCAGCATTACCATTTATATTATTATCAACAATAAATTTTATTATTGTACATAGTTTATTTCAAGCACGTCATGCAAGATCTAAATTACAAATCTATCAATCACAAAGAAGTCGAAATAAAAATAAATTATCAACATCAATGTCAAGAAAACTGACAACAATGCTTTTAGCTGTAACTATCTTTTTTTTGTTGACTTCATTTCCAATGGTTTGTTTACAACTCTATACAAATATACATCAACAACATAATAGTCTATTTGCTCAACTATATCTTAAACCATTATGTGAAACATTACAATATTCAAATCATTGTGTAAGTTTTATACGATATATGTATATAAACGAAAAAATGAACTTTTCGTTTCTTTTTTTTCATTTAAGATTAATTTTTTTCTTTATGCTATAACGGGTAAAGCATTTCGTCATGAACTTAAACGATTATTTCATAGTATTGCACTAAAAATGCATTTAACAAAAAAAACAATCGATACACCTATGGATCGACGTTATCTCGGACATACAATAAAACGTCAATTGAGTGATAATACTATAACTCAACGACGAATATCAACGGCTACTATTCAACTTTTACGATGTCGGATATCGCTTGATTCATATGCAAGCAATGGTATTAATATTAAACGTCATGTTTAATAAGAATAAATCATGTATGAAATATACAATTCAATTGTACTATCCAGACAATAGGATGTCCTTCATCATGATCTTTGAACCGGTTGTGTCGTTTATTGATTTTACTTTTCTGTACATGTCATAATTAATAATCTCTTTAATTGAAAAAAGGCTTCGAATAATAAAATAGGATATTAATTTGAATGAATTAATGTCTCCATTAATTTTCGATAAACTTCGATGAAATAAAACATATAACAGATAGCTAATATAATTATCTTAAAAGAGAATTATTGGAAGATTAACATCAATGCTGAAGGTTTTAGTTTTCAAGGACTAATCGCATCATCATTTTCTTCTCGTGAATTAAATATATTAATAATAAAACTATCGCAAATGATCAATTATCGTACAAGTTTTTTTTACTATTCCCTTGATATATTAAGATGTTGATTCTATCTTTTTTTGACTCGTTCAACGACAATTTCTAATGATTGCATGTAAGAATTTTGAGTCATCAGCTCATATTTTTTTTTGTCAATCAAGAAAATGTGTTTGTCTATTTCAATAATCAGTGCATCATTTATAAGAGATAATAAGTGTATGCTTCAATTTCCTTTTGTTGCATTCCTAATCAATCTAACAGTATTTCATTTTTTTTCTCTAATAATCGCAATAGAATGTTTTCTATGCTTATAAATTCCTACTATTTACTATTTCATGGCTATAAATGTAGACGCAAACAAACCGAAATTATGTCATGATTAAAATAGTTATTAAAAGAAGAAAAAAAAAAGAAATTCCTATTACATATTTTCTAAGATAAAGTATTCTGTTTTCATCTGTAATCAATTTTTACTTTAATGATAAATTAGATTCTTATTTAGTAAATATACTTTTTTTATTCAAATAAAAAAAAAAGAACAAATATTTCTTTGTGATTGTATTTGATAACTAATCATAAAAAATAGAAATAAATAAATATCAAGAGAATATTGTTTTTTTTGTTAATGTTGCACGATCCTTAAAAAAGAAAAGAAAATAATTTTTTATACAAAATATTTCGAATTTATACTTTGCCCTCAGGATTAATTAACGTTGTAATTATATATGAACCAGTATGCCATGTTGATATCGATGTAGCTATAAGTTCATTATCATTAATTTGTTCAGATTCATATGTATTTGCTAAAATCTAAATAAAATAAATCTATAAAATATTTCTAAAAGAAATTTTGATTAAATTACTTTTAATGAATGTTTAGATTCTAAAAGACAATTATCTGGAAATGTAAAAATTAATTTATTTCCATTTTCATTTTCTTGATGTATTATCCAATTACTAAGATCAATATTTTTTGATCGACTTGTATTATCGATGATAATATAATGTCCTTGTGCATGACATTCTGATATACTTATTGGACCTTTTGCAGATTTTTGAAATGTTATACGAGATTTCGTTACTAGAGAGAGAGAGATGAATCATTGTTCGAAAAAATATTTTTCTATAATAACATACGTTCATTAGTATCATCCGTAGTTGTTGTAAATGTATTAAGATTATTTAACCAAGATGATCGTTTTTGTTGATCATTATCATAATTATTTAATGATGGTGAACTTGCTCGACAACTTGATTCAGTTTTTGAAGATAATCTTGCTAATAAATTTGCTTGTCTTGTTGGACATAATTGAGCTTCATTTGGTGTTGATGTTGATAAACGAAATCCGATATCATCATAATCAATATTCATTGTAACTGGTAATGAAACACCACGTTCACGTTCACATATAAGAAAAATACTTTCTTCTGGACTTGACTGAGTTTGTTGTTGAGTTCGATTTAATTTTTCATTTAATTCCGATTGTTGTCGTTGTTTGTATATAGATGATGGACATGTATGATAACTATCCGATTCAGATTTCTCAAATGAAAAGTTATTTGTTGGTCGATTCGTTGTTTCTTTTAAATTTGGTCGTAAAGGTACACCTGTTGTTAAAACTTCTGATTGAGGATCATTTGTTGTTGGATTTCGATTGGGTTGGAATGATAATGGACGTCTCAACGAATCGGAGACTTGAACGATAGTCTAGACGAAATATAAAACAAGAGATATATTTTGACTGTATGAATTATGATTTACCTTAGTTTTAGTTGCTGTTCTCCCTTCATCATCTGCATCATAATCTATTGGTAAATTTGCATCATCATTATCGGCTGATGTTCGCCATAAGCCAGGATATCCTGGTATAAGATAAACGTCATCGGCTTGTTGTTTTAATGGTGATGATAAACTATCATTACTTGATAGTGTTGTTGTAACATCATATCGACGATAACATTCATCATTTGCACTTAAACTACTACTTGTTTCTGTTAATTTATGATTAATACGATGAATATTTGTTAAATCATGTTCTTCAAATTCTTCATCAACATCATCATCCGTACTACTACTATCTAAATCTTTTCGTATATCTATATTTGATCTATAAAGTCTTCGATAAAGTATATCATCAGAATAAGATGTTAAATTTTCTGTTGCATCAAATTCAGTTGAATCTTCTTCTTTTGTTATTGATTGTAATGGAACATTTTCAATATGTTTATACAGAGGTAAATCAGCTGCAAGAGGTATAATTGGTAAACGATCTTGTAATGAATCATGCATTTCATGTATTGCATAGGAAACATAACGATCTGAACTTGTTATATGAGATGATGATGTTGTTGAAGTAGTTGATTGTTCGGATGGATTCACTTGTTGTTCAGTTGAATTATGTAAAGCAATACTATGACCACGTAAAGCATGAATTAATTCCGATGAATTCGGTTCGGTATTTGTTGGAGATAATGGACGAAGTTCGTTTGATGGATTTCGTAAAATATCTTCATTTTCAATTTTCTGAAAAGAAAGAAATTTTTTACTGAATATCATTCGCAGATATTTACCTGTATACTATCATTACTCTAAATACATACGAAAAAAATAATGTTCGTTAGAATTTCATTCAAAAGCGAAATTTTTTACCTGTGTATTTATAGATTTTGTAAGACCAGTATTTGAAGTAAGATCTGTTATATGTTTTAATCGTGATGAAATACTTCGAGCTAAGTCATTCATTAAATCTTGAATAGTATCTTGCGATATGTTATGATCTTGATTGATATCTAATGTTACTTTATTCTAAACGAATGAATTATTTTTCTTTATGAAAAATTAAATTATGAAATTTACAATTTCAATTATTGGTGGAATTTCTGATATGTCTGAATCTGTCGAAATAAGTGATGCATCAGTTTTCTCGAAAGTAGGATGTGAAGTTAACTGAACTATGTCAATGTTGATAGAATCCTTTAATAAAATGATTAGAAGAATGTATATAAATAAATAATATATACCGGTGGTGTTAATATTGTTGGTTCGATTTCTGTTTCATCGAAATAAAATTCAGATTTTCGAGAAATTAAGCTTTGATCATTATCGACTAAATTTGCAGTATCCTAAATTTTAAAATTGAGTTATATAATTTTTACTGAGCATAATGTATTACCGTTTCAATATTTTCAAATTCGTTTTGTAGTATTTGTTCAGAAGATATAGCAGCATTCGTTGTAGACATCTGTTGGTTATTTTCAATAGTCGAAGCTGATATGTTACTTGTAGTTGTTGTATCGTCTGTTAACATTTGATATATCGGTGTTGTTTCCTAAATATAATATTGTACTTTTTAGTCATTACACTATTTACACAGCTTACGATTATTCTAGAAGGTACTGATTCTAAGTCGATTGTTTCCAGTGTGGTGCTTACAGGATTTATATCATTTTCGTGATGATCTGTTTCTTCAATAATGATAGTATCGCTATCCAATATATTATATTCTTTTTCTTTATTAGCTGAACTTGCTCGTGTGGATATTGTTGTTTTATTTAAAACTTTGTCTTGAATTGACGATGTTATTTCAGTTTCTTTTGTTAGATTATCAACGAGTTTTTCGTTGGATAAGTCATTACTATTATTGAGTAATGAAGTTGTTAGTTCCTAGAAAAGTAATTACAGAGATTTATTTATCGATAATGATAGATCGAAATTACCTTCATATTTTCAGCTACAGCTAATGCTTCAATAGTTAACGCTGATAATGTATCTTGTTTGTCTATATCAAGATTTCCTAATGTTGATTGTGATTTTTTGAATATCGGAACGAACTGTTTATTCTGAAAGATCAATGAATAAGTATATTATAAATAGTCAAACAGCTATAATTATTTTACTTTTTCATTTTGATTATAATTTATTTTCTCACTTTTGTTTTTCAACCGTTTTATTACCATCATCATTTGCATACTTGATGGAACATTTGGTATTGTTTCAATCAATGGTATAATTGGTGTCGAGATAGTTTGATGAATATAAGTACGTAGAGCTTTGTTAGCACGTTTTGCAGCACTTTTTGATAAACTCTATTAAGAATAATAAGACATACGTGTTAAAATCAAAGAGTTAGAAGTTTTTTCATTTACTTTTATATATTGTGTGCGTTCACCTAAATAACCATGATATACATCACTACTTATATACCGACTACTAATTGAATTTGCTAATGTATCGATTGGACTTTCGATGTTCGGTGGTAATGATATACTTTCATTGGTTAATAGTCTAGCTTCACATTCTGTATTATCAACTGGCTGTGTAATACTTTCGACTTCATTCGATTTGATTTCTTTTGTTTGTTCGTCAGTAAGAAACGTATCTCTTGAATTAAGTGTTTGTTTGTCTTGACTAGTTTGAGATACATTTGAATTCAACAGAGGAGTTTGTCGATCAGTGGAATCAAGGACGTTTGCTGTTGTATCAAGTGAACTAGTAGATTTGATTTGTTTTTCAATGAAATTCGTCTGTGAATCTATAGAATCCGACGCAGCAACATGATGATTAGTAGTGTTAATTGATGAGATTTGTGGTTCTATCGATGTCTCTTTTTGATATCCTTGTTTATTATTAACTATTTCTGAAGTTAATTTCTCGTTTGCGTAGTTCGTAGAAGTAGTCGGCAGTCTAGCAACATCGTCCTTTATAATGTGTTGATCGTCAAGAGTTGATGACAATGTAATTATATTCTCATCGTTAGAGATTGTTTTATTAAAAATAGATATATCTGTTTGTTGATTGACGATAGACGATGATTCTTTAGAGATATTCGATGGATAAATTTTTTCTATAAGATTTTGATTTGATGAACTCTCAGCATCGTCTTTGTTGTCAGATATAACTTCATCATAAGTAGCATTAATTTTCTGTATTGTAGCTTCATCGTTTAATACGTTGGATAATAATTCCGTTCGAGATCGAGTATATTGATGTTCATCTTTTTCATTTTCAATTATAGTTGAAAGTTGTTGTATATCCCTCAATAAAGTTTCAATTTCTTTCTTATTTTCATCGAGTGATGAATTTTTTTCGAGTTCATCATCTGATAGAAGTTTAGTTTCTTCCTTTATTCGTTCAGTTAATGATGACGTTTTTATATCAGATGGTGGAGTGATTTCACTATCAAGATCTTTAATAGCAACAACAATTTTGTCGTAAGAATCTTCACGAATCATGTGTTTTGTTTTCATACGTTGTGTATAAGCGTTTCTAGTAGATGTTGGCGATTCAACACGTTTATGATGAAGGATTGGCGAACCATCAGCTGAAAGTTCATAATCGAGTACACTCTTGTTTGGACTCATACTACTTAGAGTAGAACTTGATAGTGGTGATACAGTAGCAAGAATGTCTGAAATTTGATTAATCAATGAATCATATTTAGTTAGTGTATTTTCAAGAATTTCTATTGGTTTAGATGCTGCAATAGATAATTCGTCTTCTAAAGGATGTTCTGGTTCAATTTTTGATTCTATGGGTGATGGAGTTATAATTGGTGTTAAGTTTTTCAGAGAAAATGAATGAATATCTTCGTCATGTTGAAATAAAAGTGTTTCTGGTCTTTCAATTCGTTTTTCATTGTCTAAAGAAGATAATATATTATGTTCGTTGATATTACTTTTATTCATATCTTTGAGAGGCATTGATGGTGCAGATTGAAATAATATAGAAGGTTTCGTGGATAATGGTAACGATGATGTAGTAATCGTAGTAGGTGATATAGGTTTATAAGCATTTTCATCGGGTGATGTAGAACGATACATAGCAGGATTTGTAACTGAATGAAGTCTACTAGAGGTATGATTCGTTTTGTTTGATGATTGAGAGTTACGAGATAATATTGGAGAATTTGGATTAGATGTTTGAGTTTCAAACGAATTAGGTGGTGTATTAAAAAAAGATTGAAATTTAGTAGAAAAGTTCGGCGAGGGAGTAGCGGTTGAATTAGGAAAATGTGGCATGGTTCTTTCGAATGAATTCGATGTTTCTATATTGTTAAAACGAGTTTCGCTCGTTTTGATTACGTTGTCTGTAGATAAATTTATATTTTTTGATATGAATGGAAGTGGTGCAACATTAGTAAATGTCGATGTACTCAATCGATAAATATGTTTTGTAGGGATTGGTTTAGGAGAAAAAGCAGTTAGATATGCATCTGTATAATCAGAACTAGGTGGTGTAGTAGCTTTAGGTTGTTGTTGCTTCCGCATTGTACGGCTTTCGAAAAAAGTCTTTATCTTTGATTTTCGAGTATATATGTTACTTCCACTCCATTTATATGTACACGAACGATCAGCAGCAGATATCCGTTGAGTATTAAAACTTGTCGTTGTCGTCGGTCGTCGATAACCACCATATACTTGTTCAAAAATTGTTGGCTCTTTTCGTGTTGTTAATGGCACCGATTGAATTGGTATACAAGATGACAACATTGAATAATTATTATCACAGCCTAAAATATATATTCAAATAAGACTTCTCGAAATATCATCTACTACAAATTTATAGATTCAAAAATAAGCTTATATAAAAATACAATATATCATGCCACAAAACATCGAATTTCTCACCTTGATTAATACCTGATTTCGTACTAAGAAAATCACTTAGATTTTGTCCTCGAACGTTATTGATTATGTCTTTTAAACCTTCGCTATAAAAGTGACAAGGTAAAGGAAAATTTATTTAACTAGACAAGAATAGGAAGTGATAAAAGTAAGAGGATGCTTATATTACCTTTTATCTTCTCCTTCAAGTAATTTTCTATAATCAGCAATTTCTGTATTCAATGTTGATTTTGTTGAATTAAGTTTACTATAATCTTCATCTAAAACTTCAAGACGAGCTCGTAATTCTTTTATTTGATGATCATGATTAGTTGATGCTCGAATATTTTCATCTCGTTCCGTGTATATCCGTTTTTCTAGTTCTTGAATACTATTTTTCATATTTTCATTCTAAAAAATTAATAAATATTCTTCCTATCTTCACACCAAAAAAAAATTTACTCTTTGACGTATCGTAGCAATCTCATGTTGTGAATCTGATATCAACGTTTGTAAATAATTAAATTCATCATGTTTACGAATATTATCTGATCTTTCAACATTATGATGAAATTGAATTTCTTGAACCTAATATTCAGAAAACTAAAAGATAGAAATTTGAAAGATGAAATTATTTTACTGTTTGTGCAACTTTTCGTTGATACCATGCTTCAAGTTCATTTCGTTGTTGATAATTACGTTCTTCATATTCTTCTTGAACTTTTTTAATCGCTTTTGATAGATCATTTTTGAAAAATCTTGTTTCATCATATTGTGTACTAATGGAACTTATTTGTTTGATTTGTTGAACTTTTTGTTTATGAAGTTGTTGTAAAAGTTTAATTTCTTTTTCAAGTTGTTCTTTTTGATTTTCTAATTGCATACGTGTAATTACTTCATGATCGATTTCTTTTGTAATTTTTTTTATATCTATGATAAGATCTTGTGATTTTGTTTGATAACGTTTATGTTCATCTTGTAAATCAACTAAAAAAGAAACATTCACATGTAATCCAACTCGTACATGGTGTTTGGAGTTGACGGATGTGTAAGTTTTCGCAAAATACTCTACCTAAAAACTGTAATAATGTGTTTTTCATTGCTCTAATAGATACTCTGAACTGTGCTCAGTCGATTAGTGGTGCTCAAGAAAAAAAAAGTAGAGTTGCAAACTACGATTTGTCGAAAAATTTGAAGCTCACTTAACTTGACCCTCATACATCTACACCCTATTATTATAAGATATTCTTGTTAGTAGACTTTACCTAAACGACGATGGAACAGATTAATATCTGCTTCGTTACTTGATATTTGCTTTTGTAATCGTTCGATTTTATATCGATCGGAGCCTTTTCCAACTAATAGTGATGTATATCTAAAAGATGGATATTATTAATTAAAATAATAAAAAACATATTGGTATATACTTTTCTTTTAATTTTAATAAATCTTCTTCAGAACGTTGAGCACGTAGTTCAGCTGCAGCACGATCATTATTTGTATCATTAATAATATAACGAGCTGAATTTATTTCTACTTCGTACATTTCTCTGATTTTCTTTTTCTGTGACGACCATTGTTGGCTACAATTTATTATGTATTATTTATTAGAAAAATTAAATATAAAACATACCGTAATTGATCAATTTCCAGTTGAAGTGCTTTATTTTGACCCTCCAAAAAATGTACACGTGCAACATATGAAGTAAAACGATCATTCAGATAGTTTAAATCATGTTTTTCACGTTTCCGATTTTCTCTAAAATAACAATTATTTCTTTTATAGGCGATTAGATTAAGATTTACTCAGCCAATTTTATATATCAAAATCTCTATGGATTTAATATATGACAGATGATATTGTTTCTTGTTTTTACAATTTATAACGGATAGAAATATCTATTCTAGTCTATTGACCATTTTCGTCTGTAATTATTAGTACCATAATAGACACTATGTGTCTGTTACTATCTATACATCTCAATCAATTTATTCCTATGTGTAAAGGAATCTCATTGTGTATATACATATCGTCTGTTATAATCAGATAGTTGTTGATTCTTATTAACAATTAACATCATTCAAGATAGACAAATTGTCGAAAATATCATACGCTATCGTAACACATGCTGTCATATACAATTAGACTTTTCCCTTACTCTATCAAATATCAAATAGTACGTTTATGAAGATAGAAGAAAACGTCTATTACTCAATGATTAATAAGCAAACATGATTAATTGAACGACTTATGTAATGACATTGAGATTATAAATGGTAATATGATTCTTACTGAATTGCAATAATAACATTTGATTTACCACTTGATTTGAATGGAATATCATAGGTGTTAAAATTATCTGCGGTGGATATCATATTTTTTGATAATGTTTGTAAATGATTAAAAGTCGTTGATTCTTCTTCTCTGTGATTTTGTTGTTGAAATGATAATGAAGAAGTTTGACGATAATCCATAAAACAAAATAACAAGTAATAAAACTAAAAAGAATATAATAGACAAAAATATTGTTTATTAAATTAAAAATATTTGCTACTCGCCTTGTTTAAAGAAATATATATATATATATAAATACTTAATTTTAGTTGGAAAAGATTAGATGCTCCGATCTTTATGAAAAAAAATCAAGTGCATAACACTTTTTTCCTTAAGGAAAATCATCGAAGAAATCGAGAAAAACACCCAATAACTTTCTTTTTTTTTCTTTCTTCTCATCAATATATCGATTCATTATTTATGTTACAAGTGACACATATCCATTTTATAAGAACAAACAAACTAAGTTTAAACTTTGTCAGAAAAAACAATACAATGCCTATTTTTCTTCTTGATATAGTTATGTCATTTCAATACATCTGATCTATTTGCATACCAAACTAATATATCCTTTCTGTATTCATAGAGATATATAATCTGATAGGGAGAAAAAAAGGAAAAGCAAAGAATGTTTTGTAACATTTATACAATGATATATACATGCAATATTCATAATAAAATGTAGTTTATTATCATAAATATATTGAATGATTTATGCCTATATTATGATTGGTGATTGAAAGTTTTTCTTAGATGAAACAACAACTTGGCATATCAAGATGTTCTTCTCACTATACAATAACTTTATTTGATGACAGATGATGATATAACGATAGATGAGTTTCTTCTCTAATATAGAAGACGATATATTTTTCTCTAAAGGATATATTATAAATACAAAAAAAAAGTAGCTATAGAATATCTTCTATAGATCGATTTTTTTCATATTATACATAGATCAATATTAAGCGATTCTCAATCTCTATTATATCTAGCTAATTTTCCAGACGAAATTGTTTTTGAAGAAAATAGTATTATTCTGTCTCTCATAAACAAGTTATTACATGCATAATACTATAGCTCTTCGAAAAAAAAATCAATACTCTTGAAATAATACATATATAACTATGTACGTATGTTTCTTTTATAAATATGCACACATATTGCCTGTAACTAACTCATTATTTCTAGTTAGAATGACATACCGTTGAGATATGTGGTCAATTAGCGTACATATACATCAATTGATTCTTGCCAACGACAACAAATTCTTGTTGTATTTACTTGTTTAATGCCGTTAGGCAAGACTTTTTAATATAGTAATAATGATTGTAGTAGTGGGTGTATACGATGTTATCAAGACAAAAAGAAAAGAAAAGCAGTTGTTTCTTTTTTTTGCCTATTTTTATCATAGGGAAAATTTTCCTGTACCACCACATATTCTACTATCATCTTTCACGCCTGCAACTGTCCTTCTCTTATACTGTTTTTCCTATAGATGAAGGCGAATAAACATCATTTATGCCTTCGATTTCGACGACATTGCGCCTATTCATTGATATGGAAACAATAGAATATCAAAAAAAACAAAATTCTGGTAATATATCATCATCATTTGACAACAAATATTTCATCAGTTCTTTCATCTATCTAAAAGTAATACTATTTATCTGAATTGATAAGAAACTATCACATACACATATATGTATACTTTATTGTCTAAACTTCTGCATAAACAATAAAAGATTTTACGCTTCATAAACTTAAAATATATTCATTAGATCGTTTGATACATATTAAAAATTTGATAGTACGTGTAAATGCTTATATTTATTCCTTTTTTTCGATTACAATTAAAAATCTAACATATACATTTTGTTACTAAGACAATTAACATAAACATTTCCTTTATTTAAACCGAGACATAAAAACACGTAAAAGTTCTATATTAATTTAACTTGATGGTGGAAAATCCCGACGACTTGCTGTTTGCGAATATGAACTACCTCCACTTGTTGCTCCACTAAAACCAGCGGATGATCGACCAGGACTACCAACTAAACCACTAATTCCTGAACTGCTTGCTCCTCCTGATGCACTACTTGTTATAAATGTACGTGAAATTGTTGTTGTGGCACGACCACCACCTGAATATCCAATTGAACCAGCAATACCTCCACCAGTTGCTCGTTCAGCTTCCATTCGTCGTGCTTCTTCAACAACATGATCAACAATTTGTTTAAGACCTTCACGATTATTTGTTCCTTCAAGTAATTCTCTATATGTATTGATTTCTTTTTCTAATGATGTTTTCATATTTGTAACTTCTTCATATTCTTTCTTCAATTGTTCTAATTTACGTCGTAATTCATCGATTTCAGATGCACGTTTTTGTACTAATCGACTTCCTAAAATATAGTACATGCATATATATCTAAAATAGGTTTAATCATAATATTTACCGTCATCACGTTCTTGATCAATATGTAATTGAAGTTCTCGTATACGATTATTTAATTCTTCATTTCTTGCTTTCATATGTGCAACTTCATTACGTGTTGTTAATAATGTTGTACGTAATTTTTCTTCTTGCATTCGTTGTTGTTCACTTTGTATTGGATCAAGATCTGGTTTTTGATGACGTAAAATAAGTTCATTATATGACATCATATAACGATTATGTAAATCTGAACGTTGTTGATCATTTAAAGCTTCAAATTCATTACGAATATCTCGAATGGCTTGTGCTAATTCATTACGAAAGAAATGTGATGGATCTAAATTAACATCAACAACTGTTTTCGAACGTAATTCATTTAAATCAGCTTCATGCATTTGTTTAAGCATAGCAAGTTCATCTTCTAATGCCATTTTTTCTGTATCAAGTGAACTTTTAACAAATGTTTCATTTTGTATTTCATTTTGTAAACGTGCTATTTCCGATGCTAAACGTTGTGTTTCAGCTTTATAACGTCGTGCTTCATCTTCAAGATCAGCTAAACGACGACGAAATAAATTTATTTGTGCTTCATTTTCAGCTATTTGTTGTTGAAGACGATCAATTGCTGACCGATCTGTTTCACGACTATTTAAAATTTCTTCATAACGTTTACGATAACGACCAGCTTCTTTTTCAGCATCACGAGCTTTAACTTCAGCTGCTGCACGATCACGTGTTGTATCATCAATAAGTTTTTTTGCTTCATTCATTTCAACTTCATACATTTCTTTGATTTTCGATGAACCTTGTCCAGCTTTATTTTGTAAAGCTTCTAATTCTAATTGTAATTTACGATTTTGTGCTTCAAGAAAACGTACTTTTTCAACATATTGAGCAAATTTATCATTTAATTGACATAATTCACGTTTTTCTTTTTCACGTGTTTCATTAACAGCAACTAATGCTGATGTACCACGATTTGGTCGTAATGGAATACCAGCAAAATTACCTAAACCTGCTATTGATGCTAAATTTGATATACCACCACCAAGTTGACCAGCATTAAAACCACCACTACCACCATTTGTTGAATAAGTTTGATACATTCGTGTCATGATACCAGGTGGACCACCAGCACGACGTTGAACATTTGTTGAACGTGGTGTGATTTGAGATTTATATGAACTGTATGATGAGGTACTACTCTTGGTAAATTCATCTTCGAAGGTTTGCATTTTGATATTTGAATTTGTTTTGATGAAGAAATCTAAAGATACAATAAAGAAATTTAATAGGTATTCTATGTACACACACCAAATTGAAAAATAAGAAGAAATGAGTATTGTATGAGTAGACATGTTCCTTTTATCGATCTTTTCTTTTCGTTCTATATATATATATATATATAGTTTATGATTCGATGAGACTGAGTAAACGAACAAAAATCTTATATATAGTCGCCTACACTTTCGATCGGTCGTGCCCGTTGTCTTGCACACGCATTTAATTATTTCTTTTTCTTTGTGTATAAAGAAGAATTGTTTCACTTTCTTCTTCCTCTATAGTTAGTAACTGACGGTATATATACTAAAGACAGTAACATCAAGTATGAAAAAAAAGAAATACTGTTCTTTGTCTATATGTATATGTGACCGATTTTAAGCAAATAAATATAAATCAAGCGACAAACATATATGCAAATAGCGCGAACAAGACAAAAGACATGATGGTGATATGTAAATTTTTTTTTTGTAAAAATTTACACCTGAATATATATTTGCTAAAGAATAAAATAAATAAATATATTTATTTATTCATGTTAATACTATATAGTAATAAAGGTGAAGGGGAAATTATTATTTTTTTTTGAAACTAAAAAAAACTATTCTTTTTTTCTTTCGTTTTGTGTTCTTATTCAATTAACCATGAAAACCACCACCAGATGAATATGATGTTGAATGAGTAACTTCACGCACATTAGTTGAACTACTTGGTCCAGTTGTATTTTTCATTAAACGTAAATTTAATGAATCAAGTAATGATCGACCACGATTCATAATTTTTTCTGCTTCCTCAGCAAAATGTCGTAGACCAACTTGATTACCACCACCTTCGAGTAATAAACGATAACGACGTATTTCTTCTTCTAATGTTGTACGATATTTTTCTAAATCTGTTATATAACCTTTAAGACGATCAATTTCTTCTCGATAATGTTTTTGTTCATTAAGTAATTGTTGATCTTCTTTATATGTTGATTCTTGAATTTGTTTACGTATATCAGCTAGTTGTCTATCAAGATCTTGATTTTCCATTTGTAAACCATTAACACGTCCACGTATATCAGATATACTACGTGTTATTTCACGAATTTTTTCTGTTTGCCATTGTGATTCAACAGGTTGTTTCGGTTGATGATATTCAATTAATGCACTAACTTTCGCTTGATAATAATTTTGTAATTGTTGTTGTTGTTGTTCAGTTATTGTTTCAAATTGTTTACGTATTTCACGTATCGCTGTTGTTAATTCACTTTCAAAGAATGGTGCTGGATCAACATTAGCAATAGCAACTTTAGAACGGAGTTGTTCAACATCAAATTTATGTGCTGTATCAATTGCTTTTAATTCTTGTTCAAGAATAGCTTTTTCTGCAATTAATAATTGTTTTTGTGTTGCTTCATTAGCTATTTCCGATATAAGATTAGCTATATCAGAACGGATTCGTTGTAATTCAGCATTATATAATGCGATTTCATCATCATTATCCGTAATAGTTTTTCTTATTAATTCTATTTTTTTTTCTAAATCAAGAATTTTCTCGCGCATTTGTTTTAATTGACCTTTAGCACCATTGATTTGATCTGGTCGTTGGACATTAGCTAAACGTTGTTCAGCTTGTTTAAGACGACCCTCAGCTTCCTGACGTTTGCCTTGTCCAGAACGTATATCATCATCCATACGTTTCAATGTATCTTCAGCTTCTTTTTTTTCACGTGATATTATTTCATGTATACGTTGTAAACCAATACCTTTTTTATTTCGAATATTTTCCAAATCTCGACTAAGTTTACGATTCACAGCTTCTAAATAACGAATTTTACCAATATATTCAGCAAAACGATCATTTAATTCAGCTAATTGTCGTTTTTCTTCTGTACGTTGACTATTCAATGGAACTAAAGCCCAATTATTACCACCACCACCACGTAATCCTGCAGCATTACTTGACATCGATTGTGATACACTCATTGATGATGTAACAGATCGATTTCCACCACCTAAATTTTTCACTGGTCGAGTTATAATAACTTGACGTGGTGTTATAGCAGACATATAACCAACAGTTGTATCTCCTGAACCATATGCATCATAAGTCGAACCGATACGTGGTTCAGTTGTATATGTTTCTTCACGTTGCATATCGTATATTGTTGGCATTTTTTTTTCGAGACACAAATATCACGAATATATAAAATATGTTTAGCGAAATATACTTTATATAGTCGAGAGACAAAGAAATATATATATGTGCGAAATTATTCATTTAATATAACATCAAAACTCATAAATCGAAATATGATAACATATTATTCTATCGTACTATTAAAAGCAGTATGTTATATTCAAGGTCTGACAAGTCAATAGAATTTGTATTAGAAGAAAAAAACCGCAATTATTTTACCTGTTTCTGCTATTGATAATGGCCATGATAGAGTACTTGATTGCAATGACACCGGTTCGGAAGCTGAAAATAAAGATCAATAAACCACAGAGTATAAACGAGTTCGAAAAACAAAGAATAGTTAACTGAATGGCTGCTTTACCTATCATTATCGAATATATTCTATTCAAAAAAAACGCGAAGTATACTACAAGATGTTTATTTTATGCATACACCTTTGATTCTGTTAGGAGATAGAGAATATTTACATTGTAAATCGATTAATGTTAATCCGTAAATGATTACCAAGGTTACATTGGAGATTTTTGTTAAACTGAATGAAATACTATCCTCATCTACATTCGCAATATAATCTAAACATCTATTTAGCAATGATATCATCTGGCAACAACTAATCCTTCATTCTATATGTATATGGCAACTTACGCCAAGGTCAAATTCAATTTTTTCAGATAAAATATTTATTTACGTGATATGATTGGAATGTTTATTGCTTTTTTAACAGTAAGTTTAATATATTCACATTGATTATACCATAATGAATGAAATAATAAATGATATTCTTCAAGTGTTGTTAATGTTGAATTATTATTTATACTAATAATTTCATCACCAACATGTAAATTTGGACAATATTGTGAATCAATAATCGATGAAATCATGATTTTATCATCATCTGTTTGTTCTAATTCAAATCCATAATGACCAATATGATTTTTTTGACGTTTAACTGGTAAAATTAAACAATATGGTTTAATATTATTTATTTTTAAATTTTCCTGTTCATTAATTGTATTGACTTCTTCATCGATGGGTGTTAATTGATGTTGTTTTTGTTCAAATTCATTAATTTGTTCTAATATTATTTGATATTGATCGAGATCATTTAAATAACGTTGATATAATTCTTCAAATTCTTCATCAACATCATCTGTTATTTCACGAGAATTATTTTCTTCATTAAATGATAATTGATGATAATTATTTGTATTTGCTAGAATAATTTCCGATGGATAATCAGAATTTTGTTGTATTAATGATTTATCATCTGTTATTGTATTTTCTTCAGCATCAGTATTCCATTCAATCGATTGATTTTTATCAAGTTTTGATTGTTCATCAATATCTATTATTGTATCATCATAAACAAAAACTAAATGATTGATACATGATTGTTTTTGATTCATATCATCAACAATTCCAATAAGATTATCAATCGATGATTTCTTATAGATATCATCATTATCATTGATTACAACAGGAGTAAATGTTTCTGTTTGTTCGAGAAGATTATCAGAAAATATATTTGATTGAATAGATGAGGCATGTACATCATAGTCACAACTATTATCATTGGATGATGCGTTAGTATGAAATCCATCATCAAATGTAATTAATGGATTAATATTTATTGTTTGATTATTTTTAGTTGAAAATAATGAATCAAGATCAATTTCCACACGAGATTCTTTGGCAGTATGATAAGATATTGCTGTTTGATCATCGAAATCAATTAAACTATCAATATCCATTGTTTCACATGTTTCGACTAACGGTGCAATAGATTTTGGTATAATTAAATTTATCTAATTAGAAAAAAAAATATAATAATTAAATTATATAACTTTCAATGGAAATTCAGAACTATATTAACCCTTTCAGGACGATGGTACAACAAATGTACCACCTACCCTGGAGGGGGGGAGGGTCCATGGTTTAAAAAAAAACAATTTTGTTTTTGAGTCGCGGTCGAAAAGATAGTATAAGAATAATACACTGATCACGAAAGCAAAACTAGTCCTGAAAGGGTTAAAAGGGATTCCCGAATATCGCCAGCGTCATTATGTGATTACATATGTATAAAAATAGCTTTTGGTAACTATATGAACGGGTTTAGAGTATGATATACTTATTCTGATAATATTAGGTGAGTTTGTCATATGTATCTTAGAGATGGGCAACTCTGGGGGTGAGCAACTCCAGGTAAAAAAGCGTCAACTCTGGAGTTGGAGTTGCCCATCTCTGATGTATTTTACACTAATCTTGTGTTGTTACTGTTGGCGAAAATTCACTGAACTTACGCCAAATCGCGTCTGAACTTTCGCTAATTGGTGAGGACACAATAAGCCTATTAAAATAAATAGAATGTTTGTTTTGGATTAAACTTTCAGTTAAAATTCTTTTTATTTTTAATTGTTGCTGTTGCCAAATTGTGTCAATCTCCATAAAAAACAGTATTTTTATTGTTATACTCGAGAGAATGGTTTGATAATAAGCAGTCTTCTTTAATATTTATTTGAAATGATTATCTTATACGAACACTACGGAGATATTTGTTCAACGTTATATAAACGTACCCTCATGTGACATACGATGATCGCATTAATCTATGGCAATTATGAAACATTGAACAGGTTATTTTAAAACATCATAGTACTACAACTTATAGTGTGATGTAAATCCCTACAGCTAAATATTATTTCTTTCTATTTAGAAATGTAATATCATCATAAAACGCTTTACTAAACATACATTATTTGTTGATGATATGGATTGTTCGGTAGAATGTTGTTGAATATCATCTAAATTAAATATTGGAATGATTTCAGACTGTTTTTCAGTTGATATTTTCTGTTGAATAGCTTCTAAGAAAGAACTTGTATTTGTAGTTGTTGGATTCAATTTATTAAAATCAAAACGAACATTGAGTAAAAGTGGTGATGGACTAATATTAGTACGATCAGCAATTGATGTATGAAAACTACCACGAATTTTATCTAATTCATTTGTATTGATTTTGATTTTATTTGGTATTATTCGAGGATTACTTAAACCTGTTGATAAATATGTAGCCATAAATATTGTTTGATCATTTTTATCTAATCGAAATTTTGGTAAAGGACATTGATCTTGAAAAGATGATGATGATGATAAATTCCAAGGAGATTTTTCACTCCATGCATCAATCATAGGTGCATGAAATATATATTGATTTTCTTGTAAACGACGAGTTTTTTTGTCTATTTCACCATAGAGTTCTCGAATTTGATCATGACTATAATTTGGCATTGATGATGGTATTGTTGGAGAATGAGCTGCTTCATAAGCGATTTCACGACCACGTAAAATCATAGCATTGGTTGTATCAGGTTTATTGATAAGTTCACGACGATATATAAAACATGCATCAGTAACAATTTTTGTTGGTAAACTTCGATAAGATCGACAAGATTTATCCGATGATGAATATGAAGAACTAAAATTGATATAAAATCATATATTTCAATTTTCTGGTACTTATTGTCTTTATTCTAAAGTTCATCAAAAATTCATCCTCAGAAATCGAATCTTTTAGTAATTATCTGCTTTGAAAAAGTTTTTGAGTATAATTAATGATAGTTTTACATAACAGAGATTTTTTTAAATGTATATTCCTATTATCTAACTAAGAATTGTACAACAACTATCGCATGACTAATTTCGATTGAAATCAATACAATCTTGCTCATCTTTCTATCAAAAGTATAGCGTAAAAATGAAATATATATATTTTAGCGATACGCTGAATCTTTATTGTATAACTATTGAACTTACATATCTTTTGATTGTTTTTCGTCATGGGTATTAACGTGATCTACTGATATATTTGGTGTCTGTTGAACTGAATCAAATGGTTTTTGTATAAATATTGAATTATCTTTTTCTATTAATTTTATGTGTCGATGTTGAGTAGACTTTGAAATGAGCTTTTGATCTATCAATACATATAAATATATAATATTTTTTTAAATTTCTATAATATATTTACCATCTGTTTCAATCGTATTTTTCTTTTTAATGAGATTATTTTTTTGTTTTTGAGTTGATGTTGTTTTTTTCTTATTGGAAAATAAACTTAAAAGTTTTTTTGATTCACTATTTACAAATGATGATGTTTTACGATTATCATTAACTTGATTATTATGAGATAAATTTTGAAATTCATGAAATGTTAATGAACCTAAATGTTGTACTGTTGTATTATTAAATAATGATCGATCTATACAGCGACATATGCCAATTTGAATTGTTTTATTTTCTCGACGTAAAGCAGTAAATTCTGATTTAACACGATCAATTGTTAATGCTACGGGTGGTTTAATAACATTTGTTTCATTGAGAAATATTAAAACATCTCCTGAAAATGAAAATATTCAAATTAAAACTTCTCATCACGAAAGATCATTATCTCAATAGGATACGATCCTAATTGTATAAATCAGTAATTCTTGATTCATTCTATCAATCAATAAACAATGTGAACAGTACAAAATATTGATTCTATAAAGTGATACATGTAGAGGGAGGGTAAGGACGGCGGTGCCCTCTCGGAGATCGATTTTGCCCTTCCGAAAATTGCACTTTTTGTGCTTATACTGTGTATTTTCCTTCCAGAAATTAGATTTTCGCCCTCTCGGAAGGAAAAATCTAGATAAAACACTGGTTCTATATAATTAATAGAAAAAAACAGATCAACAAAGTTTCATATGAGCGCATGTAATTCTTTATCTCGTTGATATCGATATTCACGATTAGTAGTATTGTGTCAACTTCTATATAACTTTCACATGCATTCGCAAGATTTTTATCCACCTCATTGACAGTTAAGAGTAATATTGTACATTTTCACACGCATTTTATATTCATATGTTCATGCAACGATAGATAAAAATCTTCTATTCTCGATATTATTCTTTTTTTTATCAATAGTATTAAACTTACTTAAAATAGTGAGATAATCATAAATACTATATTAGAATAACGAGCGATAATAGTACTGTACTTATGATGAATAATAGCGAAAACCTTTAACTTGTACCTAGATAAACACTGCTAATTATTAAAATCAAGGTTGCGCTTATATCAGTTTGAAATAAATCAAAACAAACTTATTAAATAAGAAGATTCTATTAATGAATAACAATTAGACATTTAAAAACGAAAAAATAAAATAAAATAAAAACCATGTTTGCCTATAGCATATACTGAAAGTAGGGTGTTATGTTTACTCTGAGCGATAGAAGAAATGTTAAACGAAAAGCTTTAAAAAAAACACTGTTCTTTCACGCGCGAAATGTTCAATTCGAAATAATTTATTCCTCATCAACAAGTGGTTTATCAATAAGTTCGATTTCCTGTCCATATTGATTTAATTCAAATAGACAAATATAGTTCAATCCTTTCTTAAGTAATTGTTTTGGAACAAATAATGTTTGTTGTGGACCAATATTCCAATATCTTCCTATATTGAAACCATTTATAAATGCTACTCCTTTACCCCAACTTGATCCTAATGATAGAAATGTATCTTCTATTGATTGTCCAGCTTCAATTGTAAATGTTGCACGAAATAATTTCGGACCATGAGAAAGACGACTAGTTGTACTGTCTTCACTACTGACAAATGTATTCCATTCTTTCACACCAGATGTACCTTTAGAAAAGTCTAATAAAATCATAGACCATTTCTTTAATTCTATAGTATTATCTAGCATGACATTATTTAAAATACCCTTACGACTATAATCTAAACCTACACCATAATAGATTCGTCCCAGATTTTCAACTAAAATTGTTAAAGTTTTTGTATCCGCTGGAATTTCCGTTTCAATCTTATATGTAGTATGATTTGATCGAAAAACTCGTTCACCATTAGATAAAACTATAGCACTATCTGCAATTTCTGGTACTGATAAAGTATGTTTTTCATTTGTTTGACTTTTTGATTCAATCTCATCGTTGACATATACAATATAACCCTGTGTTATTCCAGATTTTTTCAAATCTTCCATACATAATGGGCCTTCAGTTGATTCATATTTTGTTCCTAGACTTTTATCAGCAATAACTTGATCAAAATTTCGAAAATCTGTTATTCTTATTTTTCCATATGATCCTTTCTTTTTTTCTTTCATATCTTTTAATTCAAATGTATCAAGTGCTGTACGTTCATGATTATAAATAATTAATGATGGATTTTGTTCATAAAATTTACCAATAACATTACGTATTGCATAATATTTTTTGTTTAAATCACCTGATTCACTTATGGGTGCATCATAATCATATGATGTAACTGTTGGTGTAAAATGTTTAAACTGAAAATGATTTGCTCCAGATGTAAAACCATAATTTGTACCACCACAAAACATATAGAAATTAACTGATATTTCATATTGAGATGTTAACAACATTTCTTCGACATCAGATTCTAATTCATCTGAACTATAGGTACCTTTTTCACCTGTTCGATGTTTTTTACCCCATTGATCAAATCCACCTGTCCAATATTCAGTTACCATAATATGTTTATCTGCACGAAATGCAAGTAATTTTTCAACGCGTTGTGTTACTTCTCGTTGAAAATTAACTGTTGCCCATACATCATCTAATGTACCTTGTGCAAGAACACTAGGTGCATCAGCTGTAAAATGTATTTCATCTAAACCATGTTTAACGTACATTGAACGAAGTGATTCTAGATAGGCTTTATCTGCACCATAACTTCCATATTCTTGTTCAATTTGAAATGCAATGATAGAACCACCATTACGACGATTGTATTGATATTTTGCAAGAATTGGTAATAAGGCAGCATAATATTTTTCAAGTGGTTCCATAAATCCACCATATGAACTACGAACAACCATTTCACCATCATACAATAGCCAACTTGGTAAACCACCAAATTCCCATTCAGCAGCAATATAAGCTAAAATAAAAGTTTTAAAATATAGATTATCAAATGGGATATAATTCGATAATTTTTTATTTTCCATTAGTACAGAACTTGACTTTCAAAATTTTTTTTTTCTTTTACATAATTGACTTCATTAACACAAGGTCGAAAAATGTGTTCAAGTTTCCCATTAAATAACGCACCGAACCATGTACAACTCGATATCAGGTATGTCAAAAATTAGTTATCATATCTGTCCTTCACTAATCATCAACGAGACAATACTGTGTGTATGTGTCTAGTATCTTATGTCCTTGATCATTTATAAAATGCAAAAGGATTTATATTCCAATTAAAGTCAAATTCAATATCAATGAATGGATCTGATTAGAAAAAATTGGTGTATAATTCTAATTCGCATTTTTTCTTCAGTAGACTAATCATAATATTTTTCGTAGTCTATTTATGATAGAATCTTTCTCTATAAATTTGAAAAATAAGATAAAAATATTTATCTTTACCTGACGGTCGAATAATTGTAAACATTTCATGTTTGTGAACTAATTTTAAGAATTTAATTAAATCATCAAAATCATATTTTCCAACTTCACGTTCATGTACATTCCATGGAATAAATGTTTCAACGGTATTTAAACCAGCCGCTTTCATATTTTCAATTCTTTCTGACCATGAATCCGAAAATATCCGAAAATAATGTAATGAACCACTTAATATACGAAATGGACGCATTGTTTGTCTATAAGTATCATCTTGTTTGAATAAACGAATAAATAAACGTTTTTCTTCATCAAGAACTAATGTTTGTCGATCGCTGGTTTTTGGTGCACGAGTATTTAAATGATAAAGACTTACCAAGAATACTAGTAAAATTATTGATCGATATCTTGAATAACATATACGCGGTGTATATGATCGAAAAAATGAAGAATGTCTAAACCTTCTTGCGAAAAACATTGGATTTTAACTATTTGTTTTATCTTCCTATACTCTCGAAATTGTGAAAGATTCACGTTTATGTTCGCTTATTTTTCTACGGTTCGATAAACATGCGTACATGCGTATAACTGTGCCCGGCAAATTTAGTCGGCACGAAAAAACCCTTTTTTTCCTAAGCGTTAGGTATAGATAAAAAAATGTCGTTGGGTAAGAGATAAGAGAAACAAAAATCAATCATCCTGAACACATTAAAAATGAATGACATTTATCGGGTGAATCATAATATACTATTGACTTCAATGACAAACGTATTCTATTGTATATATGTACAAAGATCACAATTATATCGATAGATATTATTTTTTTTCTTTCTCTTTTCTCAAAAAAAAAAAAGTACATCTAATAACTTACCATTACGAACCCCATTCTTATATAACCCATGGGAAATATTATAAAAAATTAATAACCGTTTATCATTTGAATTCATACTTAAATGAATATTACGTTCACGACTTGCATTAAATATATAAAAATGAAGTAATGTATTCGATTCATCAATGGGTTGTATCGATAGGTTATTATTATTATTATTATTCATATTAATTTGTTTCTTTTCCAATTGTACATCATTATGTGCACAACCAATATTGCCTAGAATGAAAAGAGAAAAAAAATATATATTAATTGAAATTAAATCAATAAAAAATACCAGAAAATTTCTTCGATATCGAATGTTTTTTCATTTCAGTTTTTAATAAAGAAACAAGTGCAATCTTTTCATGTAGATCATAATAACTATAAGAATTTTGTTCAATGCTTTCCATTGACCTCTTGACAACTAGTCTATTCAATAGGTATAATATCTTTTTCTTTATCCAAAGACAAGTTAAAGTTTAAAACAATGACATGATGCTAAGCTTCTCATTTTTTCTTTATGTACAGTATTAATCTTTACGAATATAAGGAAAAAGAAAAAAAAATAATTACAACGATCGGGCGGGCAAGGCGAACGAAGATGATGATGATCAACTGAATTGATTAAATCGGATCAATTCATTCTTTCGTTCGTCTATAAACGAAATCTAGTGTTAGTATTATTATTATTGTTATTGTTTGTTGTTATCGATGATAATTGTATAAATATACAATCGATGTCCGGTTAGTGTAGGAAGATATAAATCCGATTAATTATAATTTATTTCATATGTACTTACTTTTATCGATAATATCCTTTTGAATTTGTTTTTGTATGCAAGCATGTTTTTTTGATATAGAACGTTTTTCTTTTATATAAGATTTAGACGAACGTAAACTTCCATAAAAACTATGCCATGAAAGACAGTCGACCATGGATGTCTTCTTCTCGTAGAAATGATATATCAAAATAATAATAATAAAATATATCTGGAGAAAGTATATAACAAAAAAAAAAGAAAATAATATCGGTCATTAGAAGAACTTACACTATAGTATATGCATCTTATACTATATCATTTCTCCCTTTTTGACGTACATTAGTCAAAAGGAAAGATGTTCAATTTTCAATATGACGTTTATATGCATCTGTCTCGTCATGATAAAAAAAACCTAACAAAAAGAAACGTTTGATAATCATAATTTTTCGTTCATTTTAAATATGACACGACATATATATATAAATGTGTAATGAAGCGACGGTATGATCTCTGTGTCATTTCTTTCAAAAACGCAGTCAAAGATATTATATGAAGATACGTCGCAAGTAAACTTATACATTTTTTTTGCATCATTGAATATGATTAAACGTAGATACATTATCTTACACAGTAGCTTAAGTGATGATTTTTTACCTGATATTCTCTTTAGACGAGTAAACTTAGATTAAAGAGCAAAAAAAAAGAAGAAAGTAAGAAAGAAATCCGTACGGATGTCCTTTCATTGATTGATCTATTTATCAACAAAAGATTAAACACATATATTGAACGTGTTGAGCTATGAAAGAAAGGCTCATTCGGATTCGTTTTATGTAGATTGATCCTATAATATTAGTAAAAGATGAATATCAACAATTTAGTTTCTAATGAAATAAGATGATGATGATGTGAATCACACGTATCACTATGAAGCTTTTTTGAACATAAGAGAAAATTATAGTGCCAATGTTATGTCTATTGATCTATTGTTCTGATAAAAAGAACACGAAAGAAAGTATATTATTCTTAGGCATTATCCCTATTCATTGATTGTCGAAGTGGGTTAAAATAGTTCACCAATTGTAAGTGAGACGACATTGTAATTTGTTTCATTACATGTAAATAACATTGTATGAATACTTGATGACAGCATTAGTAATAACAGGCATCAGTCCTATGACCGATACTACTTGTTTAATTAAATTAATCTTGTATGTAAATATATAGGTGCAGGATGATGAATAGAAGCATCAATTCAAGTGGCGTCTTTTTAAGTAAACAACTTTCTTTGTGTGATATATTTTTTCACACATAATTATTCGCAATAGGATAAGAAAAGAGCTATAAAATTAACAAAATACTTACAATAACCAAGCCCAAGTGAACGTAATCGAAATGATGGAAAATATTTCATATTTTATAATAATTCGTGAGGAAAATTTTTCAAATATTTTCCTCAATAACAAAAATAAATAGAAGACTGTAGCCTTCAAAATAATAATAAGTGGAAAAAATTTCTCCGTACACAAAATTTTTTCGTCTATGAAAATATAAATGGTACACAACTGGTTTTGATGTATTGTTAGTTCAAGGCTTTTTGTTATGATTCTATAAAAAGAAACATAGAGATAAAATTAAGCTAAAAGGCGTCAGATGATTGATATACATTTTGCTTCCATTTGTCTAATAATAAAAGAGAGAATGTTTTGTCATTGTGTTAAATATTATAGTGCCTTGATGAAACGATATTAATTCCTTATCATAACGGAAATTAATTGTAAAGGAAATGTTTCATTAGAATAAAAATGCTTTGTAGTATCATCAATAATTCAACGATTCATGTATGATCAAAGTACTCATATTTAATTTTATCTGTATAAATAGAATGACTGACAAAGAAATTGTCATCAGATGATTATCAATTAAATAGAATTTCCTTATCGGAACTATGTATGATTAGGGAATAAGAGATTATGATGATTTTTATAGACAATAAAAAAAAAAGAAGTTAATTAAACAGATGGGATTCATTTTATGCTTGGTATAGAATATTGAATTAATTCAGTAAAGGAACTGATTAGATTTAATCATGTTGAGTACAATCTATTTCGATTGATAAGATTTATTTAGAAATAAGTGGAACAAAACTGATATTCAATATTTATCATAGATAAAAATGTGTTAAATCATCTATTGGAAAATAAAGGATAGAAAAAATGTTATTGTTCGTATTATCTATAACATGTTGATACAGCACCATATGAACGATAGAAATAAAATATGACGTTTAGCTATTGTGTATGAAATAACAAACTACAATATACGAGATTATTTTTATTAGCGTAAATATTTTTACAAGTAATGCTCGTCCGAGAACTCGTTTAGTTCTTTCTCGTAGAAATGTATCCTCTTCACATTTACTGGAAAAGCAATCGAAAACCGTGAAAAATCGGTCTTTTGATGTTTTTTTTTGACCCTGCGGACAGACAAGCAAGCAATTAATCAGACAGTTTATGTTTACTGGACTCTTCTCTACAGTGGCGGATTTAGGACGCGGCGATCGCCCCCCTTCCAAATTTTTTTTTGATTTTTTACAGCAAAAATGAACGGAGAAATAGGTTCACACTACTTCGGTTGGACTTAAAAAATAGCTTTTAGCCAAAATCGCCCCCCTCCCAAAATTCTAGATCCGCCATTGCTTCTCTACGAAAAAGAGAATATTTAAACAAGAATAAATATCATATAGTTATTTTTTCTACGATATTTTGAGAATTATTATTGATTGTAAGTAATAATAATGATCATAATCTTCCATTGTAATATATAGCACAAGCGTAATACGATTAGCATAACTATAAAGAATTAGTGAACAGCGGAGTCAAAAAAGCCCAATCCGGAAAAAAAAATTTTTTCGACTTCGATTCCGAAATATTTTTTTTTGTGACTCCCCAGTTCACTACAAAGAATGTTGAAAATTATTATGTAAACAAAATTTTTCATATTCATTAGACCTTGACATAAACAGGAAAAAAAATGAGTCTTCGTTATTCTAATATATTTTTATAAAATACTATCGTTCTATACAGTACTTACTTTGTATATATTTACCCTCAACAATACTTGTATCGATATATCGAGGAAACGAACTAGAATGTCAAGTATGAAAATTATTACACATATTTTATGTAATTAAGATTATTCTTAGTGTAAATGTTTATTGAAGTAGTTATTACGGCGCACGTGATTTATTGATGTATTTTTAATACATATCATTTTGTATAACTAATTTTCGACAATACATTAATTTTCGACAATAAACTATTGAATTTATGACTTTATATATGCACCTTCCTACTAATTAAAATCTGTCTTTACAATATTTATGAATACTGAACTTTATGAAGAAAATACTTCAATAGTAATGCCATTGATTATTTTTGACCTTTACATAGTAATAAATCTATACATTTTAAAAATATAATATTTATATATTTACATCGAAAATCAAATGAAAACAAATGCACATAAAATAAATGTCAGACAAAACTGTTCAAATAAATGTTTTATTTGAAATGTCGATTATAAAAAACTGATATCCTACGTATCTATAAACTGATAACAGAAATGCAAAGTTTGTTTGTCTAAGAATGTTATAATGTTGATCCATTCATTAGAGTACAACCTTGTGTATGATGATCTTGTAATTGTTTTTCTAATTTTGTTATATCACCTTTTAAACATTCAGCTATGCCTGTTAAATCTTTATTTTTTCCTTGTAATTCATTAACACGTTTTTGTAATTCAGCTATACGTGTTAATTTTCTTGTACGACATTTTTGTGCAGCTTGTCGATTTCTTTCACGTTTTTTTTCTTTCTTTACTACATCAACTGGTTCACCAGGTTGTCTTGTTTGAATTGATGGAACATGCTGTAATTCATCTTTAATACGACCTGAATAGGAATATACCATGGGACTTGATGTATCTGTTGAATTTGATGAATCATTATCGTTCATTGATGATGATACTGAACGATCACGTGATGATGATAATTGTGAATGTGTTCGATCAGGACGAAATGTTGGAATATTTTCTTGTTTATTATGATTGTCACTGTATGATCCTCTTGTATGTGCATCATGATCGTATGAGTTTGTTGACGGCATAATTGGTTGATTATTTATATTATTGCCATGAGCAGCAAATAATTCTTCGAGTACTTTAACACCTGAAAATTTAAAAAAGGAAAACATAGATATTTTTTCCCTTAATTTAGAATAACAAACTTGGTGAAGGTTGCCCATCAACGAATGTTTGTGATGCAAGAACATTAATTAAATCCGGTGTTGATAATGAAAATTTATTGTAATCATTTGGTGTAAATAGTAGTAGATCACTTTCACGTTGTGTATTTATTGGTAAAGTATTTGGACGTGATGATATTTGTGGAACAACCGACATATTTGTCATCGTTGTATTATTTGTTCCATTTTGAACGGGATATGAATAATTTGAATTATGATCATTTTTAATATTATTGCCACTCATTTATAAATCTTTGATCAAAGAAAAAAATAAACGCGAATATATATTACTTTGAGTTTACTTCAAATATAAAGAAAACGTGTGTTTTTATATACGTATATGTATATGTAGTAGGTTTTGATCGACTGATTGTGTTAATAAGGGAAGAAGAAAAAGAGAAAGAAAAAGCGTAGGTGAATAAAAACGAGTGGGGGGCTAGGGCAAGCCGAATATAAAAAAAAAATATGACTCATTCTTTAACTTCACATTATTTATTTTGTGACTCAACCGTCAAAAAACTCATTGGCTAGTAAATAAATTAATACTCAAGCTGCAAGAACATTGTAAAATACAGCTCCGATATTTGTTTTGCAAAAGAGAAAAACACCATTTCTAAGTAAATATATTGTCACATGTACTTTTCAAAAAAATATAAAATATTTTTTGTATGGTCACAAACACGACCTATAATCAATATGATTTATTAACAATTATTATAAAAATTTAACCAAATTATGCATGTAATCGATCATTGTCAATATTTTACATGTGTACATACGTTAGTTATTCAGAACGCATGTGATTTTATTGTATTCGATTCTTTTTCTTTCTAGCGAATGTTTGATAATGAAAAGAAGGTTTCTGACGTATATATATTATCAAGCTCACAATTACGTCATAGCTTTTTCTTTCTATTGTTCGTGAAAATTTATCTAAAGCTCTATTAAAGAAAAATTCTTATAGATTGGGTTTATCAATGTGATTTTGTTTGAAAGAATATTATCTAAAAAATAGAATTTATAAGAATATTTCAAATAAACGATCTTGACTATTTTGAATCTTATAATGTTTCTAGTGTGAGGGAAAAACTGATAATTTTTGTACAAATTCTTCATAGAAATATATAACGGGCGGATCGAAAATTATGAATTAGACCTTCAGAATATGAGCTTGGAGATGCCTGAAAAATTTGTTTGAACGGAAAATTTTTTGCGATTCAAAACTAAAAGTTGCAACCTTTATTATTCAATCAACTAGTAGAGTAAAATTTACCCTACAAAATGTACTATTTGGGTTTTTCTTCGTCTTTAGGCAACACTTCTCAAATTTTATTTTTTCTACACCCTGATTTATGAGTAATCGGCTTTTTGACCAAAAGGCGTTTTTCAAAAAAAGGAGCGTCTGAGAAAATAAATATAACTTCACTTATGTTAAAACTACAACTTAATTCAATATCTCATTCTGATAGCTTTTAGCATCTTCGCAAAGGGACATGTATGGGTTAAAAAAAAGCTGTTTATACGTCGTCTAAATTAAATTTTAACGCCTTTCAAAAATTCCAAGCTCATATTGAGAAAGACCATAAAATTCTGATTCTAATGCATCGTTTTCGGCTCGTACAATTAGAAAATGTCTTGCAGCTGTATTCCATTTATCATCTGAAGAGAAGAAGAAATAAATGACAGATATTATTATCATCTCGTTTTCGACTATGTCTGTATACAATTCCTTAATTATAAACTTTTCTATATTTTATAATAATCTAATACACGAAAGTTACATAAAAGTTTGATATGTTAGTGTTGTCTTCTATACTAATTTTAGGAAAAGTTTGTTTTTTCGACAAAATTACATTGTCCAGATGTCTTCTTTTTAATAGAGAAAATGTGAAATAAACAGGTCGCACATGAATATATGTATATCAAAATAGAAGAAGAAATAAATCGAAAGTAAATACATAAAGTAGAGAATATTTGTCAATACAAAAAAATATCAACTAGGACAAAAATAGATTTTAAGAAATTTTAGTCATGTTAGTGTTTAAGCAAAACCCAGAAGAAATGTTAAGATCCAAGACATAGATCCTTATATTTGATTTATAAATTAAACACGTGGTTGATCATTAGCCGATGGTGTTACTTTAGGTTTTTCCCATCCATAAAGAAATGTTGCACTTAATACACACATTGTTCCAATATAGAAAAATAAAGTCGGTGTAAAATCATGTAAGACAAAGTAAGAAATCACGGACGAGAAAAGAATTGAAAGAGAAGTAGCAAAACCTTTGATAATATTATCAGCATATTTGATAACAACAGCAATTATTAAACCTCCAGTTGCCTAAAATTATATAATATTGAATAGATAATCTTTTTTTATTTTTTTTTATTTACTTGAAGAAAGATAACGATCCATACTAATGTTGTGTAACCTTGAAAAAAGCCTTTATCCATAACGGCTTTATAATCAAAACAAATTACAATCAATAAACCAAAAATTGTTCCAAAAATAGCTAATTGAATATTTCTAACCCAAACAGATGTTGGTCCAGTTTTAAGTATTTGTTCAAAATAGACACCTGCAAAACCGGATGTTACTGCAGATACTAAGACTGCACAAAAACCCATCATTTGTTGCAACCATGTTGCTTGATTTTGTACTGTTAAACGTTTATTTGATTCATCTGGTGTTGGCCATGTAACAAGTGCAACACCAATAGCAAGCATAAATAAAGAAAACCATTGACGTTTTTCTATTTTTTTTTTCAGCATAAATACACTAAATAAAGCTGTTGTTAAAATTTTTAGCTGATAAGTTACTTGATATGTTGCTGCATTTAAATAAGATAATGCTATAAATAAAAGATTATTTTGAATGGAATATAATCCACTTGGTATAGCTAATTTCATAGTATCATGAGGTTTATTATAAATTTCTTCATTAAGTACTAGGATGACTCGATTAATTGAACGATCTATTGAAAAATTAAATTTTAATGATATATATTTTGTTTTATCTACATACCATTTTCTAACCAGACAAGAAAAATACAGACAATTCCTTTAAGAAATTCTGCAGTCACAATAGCTGTTGATGATAAATATTTTTCAGTTTTCACTGTTCTTGAATAACGTAGTAGAAGAACAAGACTAGTAGTTTGACAAACAAGTGCCACTAGACTAATCCACCTACGATTGTCTTTTTTGGTCATCTTAGAACAAATAAATACATATATATATATACAAGGTGTCTCCAAGATCTTGGTCATTTCAGAAATTTCATATCTTTTTTTATATGTGATAAATTAAAATAAATCGTATATCTTGCTTTCTATTATTATAAATTTACGACCTTCATTCGTACGACAAAAAAAACTTATTGTTTCCCTCTATTACATAAAAAAAAGATAAACTGTACAATAGTAAGAAATGTTGTATTAGTAAATACTTACAAGTTGCATTCGTCAAAAATGGAAGAAATAGTGTTTGTGTGTTCGATGATTAATGAGAAAGTGATGATATAATAATCGTGCGTTTTTAGAGAAGGTCAGTAAGCAAGTAATGTTTACATATGTACAGTGAACATATTGTAAAGTAGACAATCATTCATTATTAGATAAGACAGTTTTAATATTTTTCGAGTGTTTTGTTTTAAGTATTAAATTAGTTCAGTTTCTGTGATAGTAGCAGTGCAATACCAAACAATTGTATTATTTAGTTTTTTCTTCTTACCTCTTCACCCATGAAATTTTTTATCTTGAAATCTGAAACAAAAATAGATAATTACCATTTTTGTTTTGTCAGATGGAAAATAAAACAAGTTTCATTCTATTAAATATATAAGTCTAATGTTATTGTATACAATCTTCATGTATCATATTCCTATAATCATTTACATAAAGTTCAAGCATAAAATGTCATTTATCCATACGAAATCTCTTTTTATCTCATAATTTCAATCAGCTGTTAATAATTGTTTATTTAATGCTTGAATTGAATTTGTTAATTTTGAAGTAAACCAAGCATAAGAAAATTATTTCATGATGGAATAATAATTAATTACTTAATATGGAGTTTGAATATAATAGTATACACATATTCTTTCAAAAATAACTATAAAGAAAAATAAATCATATTTATAAGTTGAAATAGAAATAATTTGAATTATGTTTCTGATTTACATTCGATACAGATGGTTCGAAAAAACTTATAGAACAACTAGACTCGCATTTTGTACTGTACTATGTGGAATGTATATTGAATCGAAAATATCTAGAGAACAAGGGCTACTTTACATTCTACAGTATAACATAAATTTCTGCTCACTCATATGAAATTAACAGCTGTTACTAGTGGCTCTGAGAAAATATTGTATTTCGCATTCGTTATAAGCATCTGAATAAAATCGAATGATTTATTAATAGGTTTTGAAATGTCACTGTATAAAATAAGCATAATAACATCTGGAGACGATCTCTATAGTCTATGCACAGTCAATCGGAAGACTCTAGCTCCGATATGATTAATCTGTAGAACGTATAACTGTCCGTTTAAAAATTGATGGGAACGTAGGATACTTTCACTCATGTAGCATAAAAGAATTTTCTAATCTATTAAACTACATCTAAAACTAGTATTCAAGTCTATTAAAAAGTTGTTTATTCACTGATACATATTGGAATTATACTTATGATAAAATAAATTTAATCCTACGTACTTCTATACTTCATAAACAGTGTATATATATATATTTATATCTAACAAAATTCATCCTCTTCTTTTCCATGAGTCCATCACCTCGACCTTTCATGAAAACTGATACTTGTACTCGTACTCGAAAAATCTATACAGATGAATGAATACCTAGAGAGTATAAATTGATGAAAACAAATTTCGTCCTTGAATTATATTTTCTTTCTTTATTTACCTTTGCAAAATACAAGGTCTCTGTATTCAATACTAGTATCATGTATAACAAATATAAAATTTACACTGTCTCACTTTCATCAAATAGAACTTTTTAAAAACTTATTAACAATCATATTGTCAAAATAAAAATAAAACTATCTCAATGTTTGCTTAGATGGCATAAAAAAAATAGAGAAGACGATTAGATATTTTTCTATAGTTGTACTCAACGATTAAAATTTAAAGAAAAAAACTTATTCAATTTACTTTAATTTATAATTTTGTGTTGTTTAAATATAAATCATATCTTGATTTTTAAATTATTCTGTTGTATCAAATGAATGTCTTTAAGAAAAAAGAACGTTTGAAAGGTTTCCATTCTCGATCGTACCATTAAGTCTTCATTTTGAAATCATTGAAAAATTAGCATAAATTTAATAATTGCAAGTTTATGAATTATTTAAACCAGTTTATGTAATACTAATACAGGATTCATAGTTCACTATATCAATAGTTTTACATTAGATTGTTGTTGTTGATTTTCAAGAATTTTCAAATTAAAAAAACATATATAGTCGAATTTCAAGTGGTAATTGTGAGTCGTTCGAGATTTATGATAAGTTTTCAAGTGTTATTTTGCCAGTAATAAATGATATTCTTCCGTTTTTGAAATAAAAGTTCCTTGTATAAAGATAAATTTACAGGTGCCGTGCTGTCGTCAAATATACCATGAATTTTGAATCCATAGTCCATGATTCACCGACGCTGTCTATATTAAATAACAATTGTCAATAGATGTCCTATGCGATCGAATAACTTTCTAAAGATTCATTCTATTATTGCTAAGACTTTTTATTAGTTTGATATTCTTAAGATAGTGATGATAGCGTTCTAACTAAAGCACTACCTGTTGATGTTTTAATAAATAATCAATTATTCGATTCAATGATCTTACATGCAGAAGATAATAAATAACCAAATCTCGAATTTATTGTGTGAATCAAGTTAAGCATAGGTCTTGAAGATTCAGCTCATTTTTACTTATAATCATTGCAGCAGCAAATCAATAAAAGAGGGTGAGTTCATATCCAAACTATCATATTGTATATTTTTTTCGAAGACTTTAATTAAATGATATTTTATGTGATATGGTTATTTACTTTTAATTATGCACGTAGGAAGTTAATGATGACAGTGTTGGGCAAATATATTGTATGTATCATATTTTGAATATCTAATCTTAATCTATAGTATCTGCTTCATCTATTTTCGTTTCGCTAGAGATAAATGATCATAATTTCTTTCAAATTTACAATATTTAATTTTATAATCCTAAAATTCAGCAGTTTTCATTGAAATCAAATCGATTCCGGATGCTCCATGAAACAGTTAAGTTATATTTCATTTCGATTTATATTATAAAATTAGGAATGAACTTCAATATAAGCAAAATCTGTTATACTTTGGAAGAAACCAAGATATTCAGTAAAACGTTTTGATTGTAAAGTATGCAGTACATTTACTCGTAATGCATCAGAAGAAAAAATGAGTACATTGATCAACAGTTTACTCATTAATCATCTATTTGAATAGAATTTTCCATTCTCCTTTGCTTTCTTATTTCGTAATTCTTACATTTATACTTCCTGGAATGAGTAACAACTTGCTCAATATGAAATCAATCAATAAATCTTTTTCATTGGTCGATCAATACTAACGAATCAGAATCTGACTAGAAATTGGAAAAAGCAAAATAATAAACGGCCTTGTTTATTTTTATGACTAAAAAAATTTTTTTTTTCAATTTTATTTCAATATTATTTTATTAATAAATTTATTTTTATGATATAAAATTTTTTTTTGAAATAATTCTTTCTCGTCAACCTTCCTACATCGTACACCATTACTACCTTATCCACCCACGTTAATCAGATTTTCTCTTTCGTCACTTTACTAGTGTGTGTGTAGTTGTGTGTGCGCGTGCGTAGTCACTTGTTGGTACAAAAAAAACCCAAAAAAAAAACGATAAAACTTTTCTCAAATTTCACCTTCGTGTGAACCAAAAAAAACGTAAAATCTCTTTCAAAAGCAGAAAATACGTTAACAACCCTATATATCTACTATATTTATCCCTTATTAATATATAACTATATAAATAAAGTCGAAAAACCCAACAACAGCGCTAAATAACCAAAAAAATACAAAAAATGACAACAGGCGGCGGTACAGCAGGAGCTCCAAGCTATCCAATGGCTTCATTATATGTTGGTAAGTTTGAAATATAATTTTTTATTCTTCTTTATATTTATATTATCAAAATAATAGGTGATCTTCACCCGGATGTAACAGAAGCTATGTTATTTGACAAATTCGCAAGTGCTGGTCCAGTTCTATCAATTCGTGTTTGTCGTGATATGATTACACGACGATCACTTGGCTATGCTTACGTTAATTTTCAACAACCAGCTGATGGTATGTTAAAATACAATGAAATAGTATTTAAAAGGAATGTTCTTGTATTTTAGCTGAACGAGCACTTGATACAATGAATTTTGATTTACTTCGTGGTCGTCCATTACGTATTATGTGGTCTCAACGTGATCCAGCTTTACGTAAATCAGGTGTTGGAAATGTATTCATTAAAAATTTGGACAAAAATATCGATAACAAATCACTTTATGATACATTTTCGGCTTTTGGTAATATTTTATCATGCAAAGTAAATTGATGATGGTTTTTATTTCTAATAAAATTATATATCTATTTTCTATAGATTATGACAGATGAAAATGGTCAATCGAAAGGTTTTGGTTTCGTTCATTTTGAAACTCAAGAAGCAGCTGATAATGCTATTAATAAAGTTAATGGTATGTTATTAGCTGACAAAAAAGTCTATGTCGGCCGTTTCATGTCTCGTAACCAACGTGCTGATTTTGGTGGACCACGTAAATTCACTAATATATTTATCAAAAATTTTGGCGATACATTAGATGAAGAAAAATTACGTGAAATTTTTGGAAAACATGGAAAAATTTTAAGCTTTAAGGTAAATTAAAATAATTTTTTTCTTAATTATAAAAACAATTTTATCTAAATTTAGATTGAAAATGATGAAAATGGCCAATCAAAAGGTTTTGGTTTTTGCAGTTATGAAAATCCAGAAGAAGCAGAAGATGTAAGAAATCTATTTTTAATATTGTATTTGATTCCTTTTTCTTTTCTTCAGGCTGTTACAAATTTAAATGGATTTACAGTAGGCGATAAACAACTTTATGTTGGTCGATTTCAAAAGAAAAATGAACGATTAGGTGAAATTAAACGTAAAAAAGATGCACAACGTCAAGAACGTATGAATAAATATCAAGGTGTCAATTTATATATTAAAAATTTGGATGATACTATTGATGATGAACGATTAAGAAAAGAATTTTCAAAATTCGGAACAATTACTAGTGCTAAAGTAAAATAATTAAGAAATTAATTGGGTTTTTTTTATTTATATATGTTTTGTTTTTATTTAGATCATGTCAGAAAATGGTCGATCGAAAGGCTTTGGTTTCGTATGTTTCAGTGCACCAGATGAAGCAACAAAAGCTGTAACAGAAATGAATGGTTCAATTGTTGGTACGAAACCACTTTACGTTGCATTAGCTCAACGTAAAGAAGAACGTCGAATGCACTTAACAAATCAACATATGCAACGAATTGCTACATCACGTGTTCCACCACAAATGCAATTACCATTTCCCAATGGAATGGGTGGTATGATGTCCTATTTACCAACACCAATGGGTCCATCACAACCACGAAACTTCTTCCCACCAACAGCTATGCCAACTTATCGACCAGCCCAACCACGTTGGTCATCAACTGCAACTGCCGGTGGTATGAGACCACAAGGAGGTCCTCAAATGATTGGCATGCAAATGCAACAATCAGCTATGGCTGCTCAACGATCAGCTGCTATGGCTAATGCTGCATCTCGTCAAGGTATGCCAATGGGAAATCGACCAACACCAGCACCAGGACAAATGATGGGAGCTAATTCTATTCGACCACAAGGCGGTGTACAACAACAACCAGCAACAGCTTATACACGTACAGCACGAAATATGCCACCTAACAATCCTGGTGGATTCGGAAATTCAATTGTTGTTGCTGGACAAGAACCATTAACACCAGCTGCACTTGCTAATGCAACACCACAAGAACAAAAACAAATGTTAGGTGAACGTTTATTTCCATTAATTCAACATATGCAACCTGACTTAGCTGGTAAAATAACTGGTATGCTTCTTGAAATTGATAATACTGAACTTCTTCATATGCTCGAATCACGTGAATCACTCAAAGCTAAAGTAAGATTAACTTTTGACAAAAAAAAAAGAAGAAAAATATTTTATTTTTCGTTTATTAGGTTGAAGAAGCTATCGCCGTACTTCAAGCTCATCAAGCTAAACAACTTTATGCAGCTAAACAAGCCGCAACTAACTCAGCTGCTTCATAAAAAAACAAAAACAAAACAAAAAAACTAAGCAAACACATTGACATATATACACACATAGATTGTCTTTTTATGTTCTTTCGTTTTTTTTTCATATCATGCGCCGTTCAATTATCTTGACGCATTTTTGTTAACTTTCGGTTTTGTTTTTTCTTGTTTCGTTTATTATTATTATTTTGTTTTTGTTGTTATTAAGACGCGAAAAAACATAGCGCGATCTCGTTTCAATATGGAAGAGGTTATTGTTATTAATATCATCATCATCATTATTATTATTAAATTAAGCGAAAAAGAAAAATATACAAAAGAAAATACGTTTTTTTTTTATTATTCGTTGTTGTGTTTTATGCTAACGTATGCGTATTATCATCATCGACTATTCAGTAAGGCAGATCAAACATATATATGTATGTGTGTGTGTGTGTGTGTCTGTGTTTGAAGAGACAAATAAAACGAAAAAAACCCTCCTATCTTAATTTCTCTTCGTATTGATGATGTAAAATTGTTTATATTTATTCAACGATCATCGAACGAACTTGTTCAAACAACTAAAAAAAAGAGGACCGGACAGTAAGCTTAGTCAATCGATGAGTTCGTACAATACTTTCTTTTCGCATACTTAACAAGTTGAGAATAACGATACATATTACAGAGAATGAAGTATCTTCTATTCATCTTATGTTTTTATAATATTCAATGTGATATTACTTATATTGAAGTAAAATATCCATTAGCGGTAAGTTTATTCATTGAAATAAAAATAATAATATAAATAAATTTCAAGGGAAAACGATCACCACCAAATGCAATTTGGCCACATCCACAAAAAATTGATATATCCAATGATTTACTATACATTCATCCGAATGATCTTAAAGTTTATTCTAATATTGAAAATTGTGATATTATTACAAAAGCAATTGAACGATACAAACCTATTTTCTTTCCACCAACACTTGACATGCATCATCCACCATCGGATACCGATAATATTTTACAAAATTTAACATTAAATATAAAAGGCAATAGTCAATGTGAGAAATATATTGAACTTAATTCAAATGAAGCTTGTAAGCGAAAGAATTATCATCTAACAAAATATCGTAGTTTTTTATCTTCATAGATAATTTAACTATTAGTCAAAAGATTGCATTAGTTGAAGCAAATAGTGTTTGGGGTTTATTACGTGGCTTAGAAACAGTCTCACAATTAGTTTATATCAATGAACAAAACTATGTATAGTTTAATAATCATTAAAAAAGTTCATCTGAATTTTGTTTTTGTATTTATTCAGGTTGTAATCAACAGTTCTGTACATATTATTGATAGTCCACGATTTCGTCATCGTGGTGTTATGCTTGATTCAGCACGACATTTTTTACCAGTATCAATTATTAAAAAGAATCTTGTAAATTTTCTTAAAAACTAATTATTATTTGTAATTATATTCAATATTAAATTTAGGATGTAATGTCATATAATAAATTCAATGTATTTCATTGGCATTTAGTCGATGATCAATCATTTCCATTTGAAAGCAAAACTTTTCCAAATCTTTCACGAGCGGTATTAACAAAAATACTTGTTTTCTTCTATTTAAAATATATATCTATAGGGCGCTTTTTCTCGTGATCATGTTTATACACCAGCGGATGTTGCGGATATAATTGAACATGCTCGATTACTTGGTATTCGTGTTATACCAGAGGTTTGCCTATTGTATATCCTATGATTAAATATGTTTTTATCGAAATAATAGATTGATACACCTGGTCACACACATTCATGGAGTAAATCTATGCCTGAATTAATAACTGTTTGTTGGTCACATGGAAAACCTTATCAAGCTATTTATTCAGTTCAAGGTGAAATGGAAATATTTAACCCAAGTGAACCACGAGTTTATTCAACAATGGATGCTCTTCTTCGAGAAATGAAAGAACGATTTCCTTCGAATTATATTCATCTTGGTATGTAGAAAAGGAATTTATTTTGTTGTATTAACCGAAAAGAATTTCTTTTAGGTATGGATGAAGTTTATGATAAATGTTGGTATGTAATATTGATATTAAACAAAAAAAGAAAGGTTTTGATTGATTGAATATATCTTTTTCTAGGCTTTCGAATCCAAGTATTCGTCAATGGATGGTTGATAATAATATTTTAAGTACAAAAAGTCTTCATAAATATTATGCGGATAGAATTTTAGACATAACACGAAATCTTAGTGTTACACCTATTGTTTGGCAAGATGTTTGGGATGAAAAAGTTGAAGTATTTATTTTTTTAAATCTATCTTTGATTTCTGTTTACTGTTATGTTTAGTTACCGCCAGGTACTATTATTCAAGTATGGAAAGATTCAAGTGATAATATTGAATTTGCATCATGGGCTTCTTATTTAAATCGAGCAGCTAATGAAGGTTATAATGTAATACTTTCAAGTCCTTGGTATCTCAATTATATTAATTATGGAAAATATAATACAGATGCATCTGTTATGAATTTGGAATTTTTTAAATATTATGAAGTTGAACCATTGAGACAATTTTCAGGTGAGACTGTTTTGTTATTGAATAGATAATGAATGACATTTTGTTCTTCATAGGATCAAATGAAGCAAAACAACGAATTCTTGGTGGAGAAGCTTGTCTTTGGGGAGAATTTGTAGATGGAACAAATTTATTATCACGTTTTTGGCCTAAAGCAGCTGCAGTTGCAGAACGATTATGGAGTCCAGCTCATATTAATAATTCTGAAGATGCACAATTTCGATTAGTAAATTTAACAAAAAAAAATTCTTATGTTTTACTTCGCGTTTTTATTTTAGGATGTTCATCGATGCCGTTTGTTAAGGTTTGAATAATACTTTCCTAATTGATTCCATTGATTTTTTTTGTTTATTTAGACGAGGAATACCTGCTCAACCTATTCTAAATGGTTATTGTGGTAATTATGAATTAGGTATGGCAAAATCAATGATCAATCATCCAGCATTTAATTATGATAATGCCGTATGGAATGATAAAACGGTACAATCATCATCACAATCAGGAAAAGTTCTTGCTAGTCTATCATCATCATCATCGAGAATGTTTAGTTATAATGTTTATTCGATATTACTATTATTTATCGGATATTTTTATTATAAATAATGAAAATTTGTTCATTTTTGATTGTATATGTTATTTCATTTGTTTAATAAAAAGAAAATTTATGATCTATTATTTATTCGAAAACGTAAATTGTTATAATCATGAAGGACGCAGATGTAATTCAATCTTTTCAATAAGAAATGTCTGGTAAAAGTACAACAAAAGAAGAAGAAGAGATAACATTTGAATAGTAGTATAATGAAGACAACCTTCAACATCATCTGTCTGAAAAAATAATCTTATATAAACAAGTAACAAACGAAAAACATTGTTTTCAATTAGTTTTGTTTCGTTTATAAATCTATAAAAAAAATGGAAAACGTAAGTTTAGCTAGTGAAGAATATCATAAGCAATCAAAAGTTAAACAATTATCCGATAATATTAGTCAAAAAACACTTTCGTCTACAATACGTATTCCTCCTATGTCAGACTTAGCTTTAAAACGATGGTGTGATGCTCGTGATGCATATCTTGGTCAAGAACATCCATATGTACAACCAATTCAAAAAAAGATTAAGACAAAAAATAATGAAGAAACTATATCAGTTTTTACACTTGAACCGGATATTCAACATCTTTCACCTTCAAAGCAACAAACTCAAATTATACATGATCATTTTGATGATAAATGTGTCGGAACAGAAATCAATAGTCCCACATTATTTAAAACCGATATTGAACAAATGGATCAAGGTATACAAGTAGATTTACCACCTCCACAATTTGAATTACATCATGAATATGATACAAGTATGGTAGATGGTGAAAAGAAACAGGAAAATTTCTCATTGAAACAAAAACCTATTGAATACAGTGACAAAGCCATTGAAACAGATCCAGTTTTGAATATCGAAAGTGTTAATAATCAAAGTCGATCATTTAATGATCTAATGATTGATAAAAAAGATGATAATGATGATGATGATATGAAAACAATTCTTTCATCAACTGAATCAAATACATCGGTTTCTGAACAACTTCAAAGGTATTGTTCATTTCCTTTAATCTAAATGAAATCGGTTTATTGTAGGTTAAAATTTCGTTTCAAACGATTATCGAAAGAACGTCGTTTATTAAGTTGTATTTTGATACTTTATATTATTATTATGTGTGCTTTACTAGTAGTTATATTTTATCTTCTATGGGCATTTCAAGGTAATACTGTTCACTGATTTGAGAGAAAAAAAATTGTTCATTCAATTAGGACGATCATTGATTTTATATCGAGGCGTAATCAAAACTAATACTGCTATTATTAATGGAAGTAATGATGAATGTTTAGCATTTTTATTTGAAATGGCTATCTTCATATTTATTTATAGTTACTCAATATGGTGAATCATGTAATGTTGATAATGATTGTAAACGACCATTTATATGCTATAAGAAAAGTTCTTCATCATCATCAGGTACTTGCCGATGTCCATTAAAATATGATTTAGTTAATAATCAATGCAGTATGTTAATGAATATTTGATATTTTTAAAACACAAGATTTATTTTAGTTGGTGATCTCAATGCATTATGTACGAAAGATACAGATTGTCAACGATATATGCTTTGTTCAGGTATGGAAGATAGAACACGACGTTGTCATTGTCAACCAATGTATGATTATGATATTGAACGAAAACAATGTCGTGAGTAGATTATTACATCAACGATCATTATGATATTATATGTTCATATAGGTGGTGATTATGATGCTTCTTGTCAAAGTAATATTGATTGTCGAGCTAATTTAATATGTAATACAACACATTCACCATCAATATGTGTATGTCAATATCATTATCGATATTATCCATTCGAACATAAATGTCGTGGTGATCCAGGTGCGATTTGTGAGCAAACAACAGCTGAATGTATTGATAATGCTGAATGTCGTGATGGTGTATGTGAATGTGCATTTCAATTTATATCCGATAGAAATAAAATATGTGGTTAGTTAAAAAAACTTCTATATATATTTTTTCTTCAAATATTTTCTTGGTTAGTTTAGTTGATCCATGTCCTAAAATAGCACCAAATCCAGTTCGAATTCGTTATCCAGGTAATTGTCGACGATTTATTGATTGTCAACAAAGGTAAATAAATAATATCGAAAAGAACATAATATAGATTTTTCTATTTTATTCTAGATCGAAAAGTGAATGTCCTGAAATGACAATATTTAATTTTCGTACGCAACTTTGTGACTATCCCAAGAATGTATTAGATTGTTAATAGAATATTTCTTTATTAAATAGAATAAGTTTTATGAACTTCTAATGCGTTTTTTTAGTATGTGCATATTTTAACAGCTATTCGAAAGAAAATTCTAACGACATCTAGAGTAATCTTTTGATGTGTATATATACTGGTTACAATTATGATCAATGATGATTTTGATTCTTTCGAAAGTCAATTAAGTTTTTAATTTTGTATACGATGTCTAAACGTCCTCATGATGATGATGACGATGATGAAGATGATTATATGTCTGATAAGATTTTAGCTGTTGCGGCTAAAGTAGCTGCTCCTCAATTTTTAAATCCTCGTCGTCGGGATTTACCACCACCACCTCCAACAGTTCCTACAGAGAAAGCTCGGAAAGTAATTGAAATTGAGCAACGTGAACAGGGTTTATCAACTGCTATAACAAGTGATAATAAAGGTTTTCAATTATTAAAAAAAATGGGCTATAAAGAAGGTTCAAAATTAGGTGCAAATCAAAAGAATGGTTTAATTGAACCGATTTCTATTACAATTCATCCATCTCGATCTGGTCTTGGTGAACAAAGTGAAAGAAAAGAAAAAGTTCGTATAAAAGAAGAAACTAAAACAAAATATAATCAACAAATTCAATCAACATATCAAGATCATTTGAAAGAAAAATATTATTTGAAACGTCTTCGTATCGATATTGCTAAATGTCAATCAATATGTGAAAGACTTGATAAAGAAAAATTTAATTTAGAAGAAAATGCTTTATGGAAAAATCATGTACAAGATAAATTAGAAGATAATGACGATGACGAAGAGATTGAAGATGATGATATGGAATCTCAATTAAAAACGTTAACGAATTATTTAAGAGAAAAACATCTATATTGTATTTGGTGTGGACAAACATTTGAAACATTAGATGAATTAGAAAATACTTGTCCAGGAAATGAAAGAGATTTACACTAAAACAAGTAAAAATTTTCTTATAATATTCGTATTTATCCTTCTTTTTTTTTTAGTTTGTTTGGAATTAAACCAACTTATAATATATATATGTACTAAATAGATCATTTCATTTCGATGTTGTTTATTATTTTTTTTATTATTATTAAATATGTTGATATTTGGATCAATTATTGTTATATATTTTCTATTCATACGACATCTGTGAATGCTAATCAAAACTACTTTGGTTCGCTGAAAAAAACAAGAAATCATTAAATATATAAATATAGTAGCAGTCAACTTCCGGTAGAGCGTGTTTCTGTTCTTATATATTTACTCTAATTCTCATATGGGAATCGCTCATAATACATACTTAAGATATTTCACTATTTGCATTAGGCATGATATTAAAATTGATATTTTAGAATCTAGAATTACATTTCGTAGATTATTTACAAAAGTATAATAATAGAAAATAATCTGTTTGTTCTTTTCTGAATATAAGTACAGAATTTTCTCAGATTTCTCGTTATTTAATCAAGTCTTCGCTTTCCATCATATATTTTCTCTTACTGATTATGTGTGACATCTAGATGATCTATAACATCATGTATAAATCACTGGACAGTTATTAGTCTTCCCATTCTTTTCTTTTGTCTTATGAAGGTTACAATGAATCACGAGTTGATCACGCCGTGAATGTGTTCATATATGAACAATATTATGTGTCATTAATATTTGTTTATCACTTAAAGAACAAAAATAAAATATTTGTAAGATCTTATTCACATTTATTTTAATCAATAAAACTCATGACAAAACAAAATTTATTTTTTCTTGTTCGGTAACGTCCAGATTTTTTTGTTCAATAATGATTCGTCGAGTTGTTTATGATGTCGAATTTGGTGTATTAGTTAAAGAAAAATTAAGTCCATGTGATAGTGTACTTGTTACCGGTTCATGTGAACAATTAGGCGAATGGTTACCTAATCGTTGTATACCCTTAAATCGTATTGATCGAACCGAAGATGGTGAAATGTGGTCAACCAATATTAAAATTCATGGGAGAGATAAAGTTTTTTATCGATATGTTATTGCTCAAATTGTTCGAAGTGATGATGATATGAATTTAATTGTTAAAAAATGTAAGTTTATTAGAAACTATATTAAAATTAGCCTTTCTATTTGAATTATGTAGGGGAAACATTTAAAGAAGCCCGACAATTATCATTTAATCCAGTTGAAACAAATGATATTACTGATAATGAAGAACCGAATGAATTTCCAGCTATATTTGGCTGTTATAAAGGTATACAACGAACTGATATTGGTTGGTTAACAGGTCAATCAGAAATTCAATTACGTTTTCATTCCAATTCTCTTCATATTTGGTCAACAAAATTACGTGATAAAACATTATCATTAAAAGTTTCACCCATAGATTTAACATATCAATTAGAAAATGAAGAAATATTATCCGATGCATCAAATCAACAGTATACACCAACATCAAAAGTATTTATTCAATCAGCAATATTACGTTTATCAGGTTGTGAAACAAATATTCAAAGTGATTATGGTGCAATTATCGAAAAAGATGATTATGTTATTGTTAAAATACAAACATTTGAACCGGAAAATGTTGCGTATCATATTGATTTTTATCTTGTTGATGAATTAACATCATTAAGAAAACATATAGGTTTTGCTTATGTATTACCCATACATTCCAATCTTGAATTAACCGATAATAAACATCTCAATCGAATAGTACCAATTATTGGATTAAAACATAATCCGTTCGTATTTTGAGATTTCTAAAATAAGTCCATAGTTTATGATTTAATTTTCTTAGAATTGGACAAATTAAAATTGATGTCTTATTAATAACACCATTAGAAGGTATTACACAAAAGTTTTTAGTTACACAATCAAAATATTGGCGTGAAGGCCGAAGACCAGTCAATGTCGGACATAGAGGTCTAGGTAGGAAAAATGAACAGGGTAATTAGATTTTTTGTTATTTTATTATTTATTTGAGATTATCTGTAATTGAGTTTTATTAATTTAAAGATATATTTCAGTTTTGATAGTAGAAATTTAATTACTGTACTTGAAGAAAAAGCGTGATGACTAAATTCGATCGATTAGAAGAATTTGATGAGGAATGTAGTAAATGAATTTCATGAATTGTATCTTTTATCATGATCAATCAAATTTAATCTTAGAAATTAATAAATAGAATGTATCGCATGTGACTATCACACTGATTATCTTAGATAAGTATCATAGGGTTAACATTGATTCACTTCTAAAACTAGACGATATTTAATCTTTTACTTGTATTGTATAAAGGTAAAACAAATGCTGAACATAATTCGTCTAAACATCAATCAACTGATCCACTTCGTCATCGTGCAAGTGATCCATCAATAAATGTACCTAATAATTCATCTTCTGCTTCATCTATTCCATCAACAACACGACCTGTTCAAACAAAATTCGTTAGTGAAAATACTTTAGCATCATTTAAAGGTGCATTTCAACTTGGTTTTGATTTTGTTGAATTTGATGTCCAATTATCGAAAGATAAAGTTCCTGTTGTTTATCATGATTTTCAAGTTGCTATAACACTTAAACGTAAAGTTCCACAAGCTGAATTATTTGTTGTACCAGTTAAAGATTTAACCTTACCACAATTACAATCATTAAAAATCCATCATGCTAGTGAAACGGATGTTAGTAAAGTTGAAGAAGAAGCTGATGAAGATGATCAAACAGGTCAAGAAAATTTTCGTTCATTATTTCCAACATTACAAGAATTATTTGAACAACTTGATCCACATCTTGGTTTTAATGTTGAAATAAAATACGCAATGGAATATCGACAAGGTGGAAGTGAACAAAATTATTATTTTGAAAGAAATGAATATATTGATCATATTCTTCGTTGTCTTATTACACATGGTAAACGAAATTTTTGTTTTTTTTCTTTAAATTTGATTTTTTTTGTTCTTATTTAATAGCGGGTAAACGCGTTATTGTTCTATCCACATTTGATCCTGATTGTGCATCAATACTTCGTCGTAAACAAACATTATTTCCTGTTTTGTTTTTAACACAAGGTGATAAAGGTGATTGGCCACAATTTTTAGATGTACGAACATGGTCAATTAATATTGGTTTATGTTTTATTGTCGCGGAACATTTATCAGGTTTAGCTGCGCCAGCATTAGATATTCTTGCAGATAAAGATTTTGTTAAACATGTAAAAGAAAATGGAAAATTATTATTTATTTGGGGTGATGAAGCGAGTAAGAAATTTTTTCAATAAAAAGAAAAATCATATTTTCAAATATTCTCATTTTAGGTGATAAAGATGTATCAAAAAGTTTGATTGATTTAAAAGTTGATGGGTTAATTTTTGATCACGTAGCAGAATTTAAAGAAGAACATTCAACAACAGAAAATCTTTTTGTTGGTAAGATTTTTATCAATAAAATTTTTTCTGTAGTTGATTTTAATTTTTTTTTCTAGCTGAAGAACGTGAAGAAGTCGAAGTTTTGAATAATTTTCGTCAACGACAACTTGAATTAAAACATCGTCAATTATTACAAGAACTTGAAACATTAAAATCAGCACGTGAAACAAATAATTCATCAAGTATTAGCCAAATATCAATTGACTCTAATTATAAACATCTTATGTAATATTCGTTCTCTTAAAAATATAAATATTTGTCCTATTTTGTAAAAATAAGAGTAGGACGTAACTTAATGCGAGTTAATTAATACAAAAATTACGTTCTGATTATTTATTTTATAGATAATATCTATGATAGTTCGTATAATTAATACTATACTTGGATTTTTTACTCGACCCTATGCTTCTATACAAAAATACTCTATACAAACATTTCAATCATATCTACCAACACAATTCGATGAAAAAACATGGTATATTCTATTTGGGTTTTTAACATGTTGTGTATTTGTTATTGCTTATGTATTAAGTCGATGTGTAACATTAAATGATGCAGATGATGATCCTGTTTATCAACGAGCAAGATTATATTCAGCACAACGAAAATATAAAAAATTTGATTGAAATATGTGTTTTTTGTTGACATCTTTTTAATAAACTAGTCAATTCTTTCTATTATTGCACTGATATTCATGTTATGCAAGAACTGAATGTATTGACTTTAGTCGAAAATTTTCAATATGGTTTAAGATAACATGTTAGTAAAGTTGATGATGAGAAAGTACTAGGAAGAAGATTGATATGATGTCTATTGAGCGAAAAATCATATCTGTGAACAGATTTTTCAGCAAAAAAAAATGCGCGAAAGTCACAACTGCGAAACACCTTTCGACCTCACCCCCACTTTTCGTCTATACCCTCATCGAGAAAAATCATGTCGCTCAGTTGCCCCCATGCCAGATAAACTATTGTTTGCTTCTGACAACAGTAACACCGCTAAGATCTTATTCCTATCGTTTTTAAACTTTTCGATCAAACTCATACATACCGAAGAACTTACTGAACAAAGAAAATTCTCGTTAAAAATATGACATATGAAAGCAGCTTAAATGAATAAGAAGATTGATTGAATATTTCCGATTTAATCAATATCCTCTTCTCAATACGATTATAATTTTTAATGGAAAATAATATGAGAAAAGATAATAACATCGGAAATGTATCTGTCACACTGTTTATTTATTTTTTTTAATAGAATAGTCGAAGAGATAAAATATGCGGAATGACCAAAAACACACAAACAACAAAAAAAAAGAAAGAGATTAATTAAGTAATTCATGTTTATTATAGACTGATTGTCTTTGTTGTTGAACCTAAAAATAAAATAAATTCATATATAATTCAAAATAAATTAATTCTATACATTTTTTCTCCATTTCGATTGTTCTTGTGTAACTAAATTTAGTACAGTTGATGAACGTTGTCGATTATTTTGTAAACCACTAGCAACTGGTTCACTAAATACACATTCTTGTGTTGGATTATCTACATTAACTTCTTCATTGATTTGTCTTTCATAATGTCTTGCTTGTCGATTCACATTTGTTGTCGTTGCTGATGCTGTTGTTGTCGATTTCGTATTTTGATTCATAATGGGATCAAGACAGAGTAAAAAGGACATATATATAAATAATAATGATATAGCAACCATTATAATAATAACAACAACCTAAATAGAAAAAATAAACAACGAAGATATAAACATTTTGATTCTTACTTTCATTGTTGTTGTATTTCGTACTTCATAATTACAAACGCATCTAAAATAATCAAAATTTTTTTTCAAAAATCAAGAAGTTTTTTTTTACCTTGGACAAAATTTTTCTTGAAAATCGGGTGATGCTTGTATACTACGAAAGACAACTCGTTGACATGAACATTTATCTGGTGGAACAACATCAACATAAACACGACGATTTGTTTCATTAACAGATGGATCTTGTAAAACACTGAATGATGGACAAACACATTTACAACGATAATCTTCAAATTCATCACCACAGAAAACGAATGATGATGATGAAAATATCATCAATATTAAAGGAATAAATAACATGACTTGTTTTGCTGTAATATGATCTACAATAAAACAAATTATAGACTATCAAGCATTTGCTTGTTATTAATTATTTTTATTTATTGAAATAACTTTTAATTCTCCATAATCCTAATCAGACTAGAAATCTTATACGATGATTAATGAAATATAATAAGACGTTTTAACCTTGCTTTCTTTCTATTCTGTTCTTGTTGGAACAATAAATGTCAACATCTGTTGTCCTGATTGGTGCCTAAAAAATAAAATGTATAATCTAGATGTCACTTCTCAAGCAAATAAAAAACAACTACTCCTATTTTTTTATAAAATTTTTCATCGTTTAATCTTAAAAAAAACTTTTGACAACGAATTTTACTCAATTGTTCAATACGATGTCATATATGTTTAATCATATTATATAACTCTACCTATAGATCATCATCATACTCGTTTTCTATTACTTAGGCGAGTTAAATGGAAATGAAAAATTGTTTTTCTATTCTTCAAATAGTCATGCATTAAATTCGTACGAAAGAACTGGAAAAGGATGAAAGTCAAAAAGTTGATATGTATATAACACGCACCAACAATAAGATTATTCCTAGTAACAGATGATACTCATCACTTATCATAATATTTGTAATATATGATATATGTTTACGAAATAAAAAAAGACAAGGTTAAATACTGATAACAGAGGAATAACAGCAGGAATGATAATAAAAGAACAATTTTGAAAGAAAATTGTTATGTTGTAGTAGTACAACCAGTACAATCTTGTATGATTAGATTCATCTTTCATGTGCATTCAAATCTTGGGAAAGATCTAATTGATTGTTTACTGTCGTGATAGATTTTCTGAAGATAACAAGAAATTAAGAAAAAAATATCATCATTAAATATCAGTATCGGTAATTTTCTGAACCTTATAGTTTTTTCAAAACTAATGTGAATGTTGAACACGGAAGTTTATTTTAATCAAATTTGATTGAAGCAGTGAATTGATTCGGTGAAATTCTCGCCTGTTGATAATGATCACCTTTGTTTACAGATGTATTAACAAAAGTAACGAATAGCATATAACGTATAATTATTACTTTTAATTCTAGTCGAGCTAAATCTTGTCCAACACAACCTCGATGTCCACCTCCAAATGGACCAAAGACAAATGGATTGTGATTAGCATCGGGTGCATCAACACCAAAAAATCTCTCTGGAATAAATTGATTTGGATCTAATTTCCAATATCTTGGATCACGTTGCATTAAAGTAAATGATGATACAACTGTATCTCCTTTACGAAGTTGAAATCCATCAATAATAGTATCATGAAGAAGTGTTCGAGGTGAACCAAACGAAGTTATTGCCAATCTTAATGTTTCTTTCAACACACAATCAATATATTCACATTGATCTAATAGATCGAAATTATCTAAAGATGTTTCTTTTGTAATACCATGCTGTTTCAATTCTTCTTTCATTTTTTGTTGAGCTTCATACTTTTGACTTACACAATAAATAAACCATGCAAGAACAGTGGCCGATGTCTCATAACCACCGAGAATCAATCCTAACATTTCACCTACTAATTCTCTTTTCGTAATTCCTGTCTGTTCTTTTTCAGGTTTTCTTCTTTCTAATTCTTCGTCTTTTTGTAATGATGATACTAATGATTCAATAAGAGTTTTTGGTCTATTATTTAGATCGATTTCTTCTTGACATTTTCGAATAATATTTTCTGCATTATTTTCTAGCGTCCTCAAAGCATTTTGATATTTCTTATCAATTTTCAATAGGAAATCATTGATAAAAGTCGGCATGCCATTGCCTATAACACGCCTAAATGCACCTATCCAAATTGTTAATGCGACACCTAGTTCCGATGATTGAATTTCGTCTTCTGATGAATTAGTTAATTTCTTAGTTTTTGATAAATGCTTTAAACTGCCCAAATCATAATCAAATGTTAAGCGTGTAAATGTATCCAACATTAGTTGTTCATTATCGAATAATATAGAATTACATATGGAATTATCTTGTTTATCATATCTATCTTTCCAAATCTCAATCAATTCATCAACATAATTGATAATAATCGAAATTTGTGATTGAAATCGATGTTTTCTTAACATTGGTATAATTACTTTTGCATGTCTTTTGTATTTCGAACCAGCAAGTGTGATTAGAAAATCTTCTGCTATTAAACCAAATGTTTTTGTACGAACATCGGCACGATCGAATATATGACGATCGGAATGAATTTGTTCGGCATGTTCAGGACGACAAAATACATAATAATGATTTGAACCTACCCAAATTTGAAATATGTCTCCAAATTGTTTTTGCATTTTTTCAAAACCACGAACATATGAATCAGTCGGTCTTCTGTTTGTTATCATTCCAAGTTGACGAAGATTTCCATATTTCAATTCTGGTTGTAGACCGGGAACTCGACCACGCAATGTATAGTATTTCCATTTTACATAATAGTAAACCAAGACTGGTAATATTATCGTCAATGATAATAACACAGGCCAAAACATTTTCTAAAAGTCTACAATTAAAATTAAATGAACTTCGTTCTCTACTCATGAGGCCTTATTTCATCGAAAAATATTTTTCACAGATGGTTGACGAGACACAAAACTAAGATAGATGCTGATTGAGGATAAAGAAAAAAAAGTAACTTTTGAATTAGAATTTTAAATTGATTTCTTTTGTTGAAACTTTGAAGAAAAACGAAAGTTTTAAAATCATTATACCAACGAGATGAAACGAGCGTGTATATATTACTTATTTTAGTCCTCACTTGCTCGCTGCCTCCTGTATATGTAGAAAAAAAACTTGGAAATAGATGTTCATTCTTGAATTCACTATTGCAAATATGTCGAACTAGATGGCCGTATAAGATTGAAGTATGACCATGCAGATAGAGATAGCAGACAAAATGGTATATTTAACGAAAAAATAAAAACGCAAAGGATATGTGATAAGGAAAGGAGAAAAAAAAGAAGCATGTATTTCATTGTCAGGTAAATGAGAACAACACGTTATCGTTACTGCGTAGACAATAAAATAATTCTCAAAGTTTGGACAAAACGATATATCTTATAGTTTCGTCATAAAGCCATCGACGCTTATACCTGCACCGTCCTTAAGACGCCATTTATTATGATATAGATAGCGATTGTAATTGTAAGGTGTTTAAAAAATTAACGATCGAAACTTCAAAGCCATATCTATCACACTCTGTGGTGTATTTTCAATAATCTGAGCGCTGTGATAACTGCTCGTTGCATTTTACCGTTCTCAGAAGCAATGAAAGATTTTATTAAATGATGAAAATCAATTATACAAAATGTGAACAACTGATATTACAACAAAAAGAAAAAGATAATGATATATAGGAAGAACTTTTACACTAGAATTTACTCAATAAATTCCCATGGATAAAACTCATTGGCCAATTTCACCGCTGTCCTAATTTGTTGTCGAGTATTACACAAGTTTCGTTTATTGCAAGTAAAACCAAGATGATTCCAATCTGATGAAAGAGGTACATCACCTTGCACAAGTGTAATACTAAAATATAGACGTGGAAATATTGTTACCGTACTAGCATTTCGACATTCTCCTTCAAAGTTAGTCTTGTCATTTTGGATAAATTCATATCCATGACATCCATAACCATTTTGACATGTTATAGGTTGATCCTGATTATTAGAACACTGTTGAACACTGACTGCCATTGGATCAAATAGTTCGGCTCGTAGTTCATTTAGTATCGGTTCATTCTGAATTAATGATTGTATAGTGGATTGATAAAACAGTTTTGCACAGTCATTTGAAGTCTTGCAAGTGTATGTCATGTTAGCAGTCATCCTTTTTGGTTCATCAAATTTATTTTCAGCGGATAAATCCAGCGTATAATTTCTGTTCGGATCACTTCCAATGGTAAGATTTAGATAAATTTCTTT